TATATCTGGTATACATGTAACATAATAACGCGATATATCCAAAAAATCCCTAGGATTCACTGCTTTATATACATAAACGAAGAGAAATCATTGCAACTTCTATCCCATATCAAACGGTCTTGAAGTTAACTGGTCCAGCCCACATCCTCATCCTCTTGCCAAAAATCTGCAAGAAAATGATCATAACAAATGCGAACCCACAAATACCCGCCATGGTTCCAAATTGTCGAATAGCACCCTGCTTTCCCGCCCATTCCACCATAAAATAACTCACAACGAACCCTCCTGTGGTACGAGCAAAGTTGATCCACGCCGCAACTTCGCCAGACGCTTCTGGGTAGCTATCCAGAGCGTATGCATTGACAGCCACGGTGGTGATCATAATTCCGAAAACGTAGAGACCCCACCCGAGAGATGCCAGCATGTAATGGTAGCCTCTTTCAAGTGCGAATCCGAGAAGGACTATACCCGAGACCAAAAACGGCGTGGAGACCCAGGTAGCTACATAGCGCGCTTCGGGCTCAAAACGGCCATTGTTCCGCTGGGCGCTGACTCTGGCAATCATATCATGAAGCCAGTGGCCTGCGATTTCACCGAGGATAGCGGCTACGACAGGTGTAAAATAAAAGAAGCCTGTTCAGGTAGGGTAAGTAAAAAGTATTGTAGCATTCGTGTAGAGTAGCACTCACCAATTTGTTTTGGTCCAAAGTTATACAGCGGTCCCAGGAAAATCGACAATGTGGTGTTGATACCAACGACCCAAGCGAATGTAAAAAGATAGTATAACATCGTGACCATGACTGGAGGCTTAGATATAACGATTAGAGGGCGCATCATCGCGTCTTTAAAGGTGTTTTTCATGAGATGACTCTGCCACTGTTCAATGCCAATCATTCGCTTCCATCTGCTCCCACGCTGGGGTTGCTGATCTGCGGGGATCTTGCGATCATAGTAGCTCTCGTCAACAAAAAGGATCACTGCGATAAGGCAGAGTCCTGTCATTATCGAATATATACCAAATGCCCATTGCCATTTCTGGGTGTTGATGATAAAGGCCGTGAGGAGAGGGCCCATATAAGGCGACACGATGATGAAGCTTGACCAGATATTGATCTTTCTGGCGTGCTCATGGAAGAAAAACATGTCTTTGATAAACATAAGACCACCCTGCATACAAAATTAGTCCTGACCTCGTCAACCGAAAGCAGAGGCGCTCATACTCCTTGCATGACAGTGGAAAAGAAACCGTTGAGAATTCTCGCAGCCTACGGATCGATATATTAATACAGTTGGCATCGCATATATATCGACCGGCGTTTCTTACCATGAATGACTCAAAGCTTAACGCAGCGGCACACCAGACAGCGGTTGCCAACGCTATGACCAGAAACCAAAACAAAACGGGGTATCTTCCAAAATATGCCGAGAAAGCAACGACGAAAACACCACCAGCGCCTAACATAAAGACGTTTCCGACTTGGGAGTGGTTGACCTCGTCTTCCGTCATGCCCCAGATTCTGCGTTCAAAAAGTCAGTATATCATAGTACCGCTGCAAAGGATTCGTTTCGTACTGGGCCTGCGGGATAAGAGTAACAGCACCCGTTGCACTTCCATAGTCCCGGCAAAAATGCGGTTGCAGAAATTATAATCAAGATCACTGCCTTCTTGAAGTCGGACCAATTGAGAGGATCGGCTGGGGAGGAGCTAGGTTGAGGAATCAAAACCGTATGCCCATCTTTTGCGGTCTTCAATTCTGCGTTGCCCAGCTGAGCTGCATCCAGGACATAGCCTTCCTTTTCGCCGGCCGTTTCGAGATCGATGTGGGCAGTTCCATGGTCAACCGGCTGCTTCTCCCGGATAGAGTCCCCGTCAGAGGAGATCTTGCTTACGCCTTCGGATGCCATTGTTGTTGGACAACAATCACAAGATGCAATGGCAAGCAAGAAGCACAGTCAGAATCCCGGGGGGATGGGGAGCGAGAGCGAAGCTTTTATGGAGAAAAAAATCGTGGGGAAGCTTGAGAAACCAAGGAAAGAGAGAACAAGTCTGGAGAAACAGCCCAAGAGAATCAACGGCAAAGAAGAACTCCGGATGGAGAAAAACGGCCAAGCTCAAACCCTCGAGAAGCAGGGGCTTCTAAGAGCAAGGAACAAGGATGTAGCATAATCAATTGTCAGCGTTTGTCAGGGTGGATCGTTTTTCTGGACGACTTGACATATTTGCAGAAAGATTCACCAAGACAGGAAAGGTTTTGGCTTATTGGAGCATTCATCCCTCTAGTGCATGCTTAAGCTCATTCTAAGCCGGAAGATATGGAGACCGCCATGGCTGGATCGAACCACATCTCGTAGCTTGGGAAAGCCCTTTTCCAGTATGGAGTTGCATCTGTCCCAACCTTCACAAGTGTGGTTAAGTTTAGCGAGTCGCTTCAGTAACTATATCATTCAAGTTAGACTACCCTTCGAGCTTTTGGACAGTGGAACCCGCGGCGGAAACACGATACAACATGGTGCAAACAAGTATGTGTAAAGCCAGCTTGTCAATGCGCACGACGTTGATGTCTACATAGTGGATAATGTCGAACAGCAAGCCAATCGTTAGGCGACTTTCTCTGGCAGCCTCGGGCAGTATCGTGCACGCCCTGCTATAACTTATTGCGATTCACATCTCGAATGCGATCTCTTTGCCTCCATAAGAGGTTAAAACGCCTACCATCCATGGTTTCCCAACAGCGGGTATTTGTTTTACCGCCAAGCAAAGCCGATTGGTTCCTGTTGCTGGCAACATGTCTCCGCCCAAGTTAGGCGCGAATGAACCCCAAATTTGCCGCCGGAGTAAGCTTGTGTTGTGGAGTTGGGAAAACATAGAGAGGTGCAAAAACTCCCTGGGGTATCATCTGTTTGCCCCATGGTGCCACGGGTTCTTGAGCGCCTAGTTAGCTCTGATAATATCGACACACCAAAACACTCCTCCTTGACAGCAACTCGAATGGACCTGAGCAGTGTATATCTTGTCGCTGGAAGCGTACTTAACCGGTCCCTGGGTCAATTAGTTAAGGACCAGGCTAGTAAACTAGCTGGTTCTAACCGTCAATTGGTCTCAGCTCGGAATCTCTCCCTGAAACTATGCAAAGGGCATGAAGACCCTTTCCTTCTTTGAATCTTTGAGCAGGATAAGTTGTAGAGCTGGTTGCACAGCCTTAACACTTTCGAGCGTTGATGCAGCTGTTCGGCATCAGATGGATTGAGGTTGAGAATAAACCCGCTTTCGAGACCGTCACGTGACCGCCTTGCTTTCAAGAGGCAGAAAAGCAAAGAAGGTCGCTTTGGCATCTACCGGCGTGTGTCGATTGCTTTCACCTCAATACACGGTCTCTTATTGCGTATGCGAACACTCTTTACTTCTCTACTCCGTCGAGTACTACCTTTGCGTCCGCCATGGACTCCATCCCCCTACCCGAATGTTCTCAACAGAGTAACTCTTCGAAACAATCACGGAGCTCACTTTAAACGATTTTCTTCCAAGCAACCACCCATAACCTCCCTACATGAAACCCCCACAACTATATATGCCCTATCTACAGCGCCTGGGAGGGCTGCAATAGCCATTGTGCGAATATCCGGCCCTGCTTGTCCACAGGTGCGATGTGAACTCCGTTTACCTCAGGCTTCCCGTTGACAGGAGATATCCTAGATCTATAAAGGCTTATCGTTTGACTCTTCCCTGCCCAAACCGCGGTATGCTAGCCTTAGGACCCTTTATGAACCAGGGAAACCCCCCTCGACGAATACCGTTCTCGATTCGGGCGCCTTAGTATTATACTTTCCGGCGCCGAAGACCGTGACAGGCGAAGATGTGCTGGAATTACACATCCACGGCAGTCCTGCCGTGATTAAAGCTGTACTAAATGCTATACCCAAGTGCGCAGGAAACGGGTCAGAAGCTGGAAGTCAGCCATCCATCCGTTACGCGGAACCCGGCGAATTCACTCGCCGGGCGTTTTTGAACAATCGCTTGGACCTTCCCCAAATCGAGGCCTTGGGTAATACTCTCGCGGCCGATACTGAACAACAGCGTCGCCTGGCTGTTAGGGGCACAAGCGATACGCTTTCAGCAAGGTACGAGGATTGGAGACAGCAACTGTTGTACGCGCGTGGGGAGTTGGAGGCGTTGATCGATTTCTCTGAAGATCAACATTTCGATGAATCAGTGGATGATTTTATGCTCTCTATCACCAAACAGGTTCGGAAATTGCTGAATCAGATAAATGTGCACATTGAAAATGCCTCAAAGGGAGAGTTGTTGCGGAGCGGAATCAAAGTCGCGCTGCTCGGTGCTCCCAATGCCGGCAAGAGTTCACTATTGAATCGGATAGTGGGGCGCGAGGCGGCAATTGTGAGCAGCGAAGAGGGAACGACTCGTGACATCGTCGATGTTGGAGTGGACCTCGGTGGCTGGCTCTGTAAGTTTGGAGACATGGCGGGATTGCGCTCCACGCCTTCAAAGGTCATCGGTGAGACGGACAATACCTCTGTTATCATCGGTGAGGTAGAGAGAGAAGGCATACGCCGAGCCAAGGCGCGAGCACTGGAATCCGATCTAGTTATTGCTGTCCTCTCTCTGGAACAGTGTCCACAGCGTGGATCCTCGTTGAAAATTGAATCGGAGGTAGTTGACGCGGTTCGAGATTGCTTGCGGCTCAACAAGCGCGTTATTATTGCGGTAAACAAGACGGATAAACTACCCGTGAATGCCGATCGAGAATACTCGAGAATGGTAGAACAAATCTGCTCTACGTTCCAGGGCCTTGGCAGAAGTCACATTTACCCCATATCTTGCAAGCAGGCACAGGGCAAGACTCTCGACGTCCCAGACCCAGGGAACATACAAATACTACTCAGGGGATTAATTGATGCATTCGAGGAGATGGCAATGCCAGCGCAGTCAGAGGAAGCGGATGCTCAGTACGACTTTTCTTATTATCAAGACTCTCTAGGAGTCACCCATCGTCAAAGTTCTAATTTACAAATATGCGCCAACCATCTAAAAGATTTTCTATCCCAAACCATGCCAGCCCAAAATGCCAATGCAGATGATAATACAACGCTCCAGACTCCAGATGATGCGCTCGCTAAAGATAAGATGCTCGACGTTGATATCGTGGTGGCAGCAGAACAATTGCGGTTTGCTGCCGATTCGATAGCAAAGATTACCGGCCGTGGTGAAGGTGGTGATGTGGAGAGTGTCTTGGGAGTGGTGTTTGAAAAGTCGGTATCCCTCCATTGCGTTCTGCCGTCCAACGTTTCCCTGCCGGGATGCCATAACTGATGACAAAACTGGGCAGGTTCTGCGTCGGAAAATGAATCAAATAATCCCGAACCCGATCGAGTTGAATCCCTCGCAAATTCCATGATGCCAAATTCAGCCCACAAGGCCTCGATCCGTCCCCTTGGGGTATTTTCGATTGGTTTGCCGGAAAAAAGGTAAAAAGTGAAGAATAATTGCCGGTTTCCCCCTTGACATGACTCGAAGTACGTCCCGCGTTTGTTTCCCCCAAGCGTCCCATGGACTTTTAGCATGCGTATGAGTTTTCCTCGTCGGTATCGTGCACATCGTTATATCCTCCCCGGCCCTGGCGATTGACGGGAGGGTTCTGGCCAGAAGACTGGTTGGGACCGTTATAGCCGCCTCGTCCCATTGTGTTTAGGTTGATTTCGAAAACGTTGATAGATAATAAGATGCAAGAAGCGTGTTTGGCTCGATTTGACGTGTCTTGTCCCTTTGGCTTTGCAATCGATTTAGTTGTATCCGCCACGGCCCATGAACAAATTGTAAGAGTCCAAAAATTGGGTCACGAATTGCGCTATTCTGCGGCACTTCTGCTCTGGTATATAAAGCAATCGTCCACAAAGGAAACCTTGTTTTGTAGAGGAGGTAGGATAAAGACGGTCGAACCCAATCAACACCGGAAGTATGCTTTCAAAGATAAGAGTACAGAGAATATTACAAGAATATAGGCCGAAACAACTGTGCTGTGAATGAATGAAATGAGGATGGAAGTTGATCGTAGGCCGGCAGAAAGGGAGGCTTATATATCCCATGGGGACAACCACTGGTTTAAGCCCCGTTGTCTGAATAACGGAGGCAGCCAAAGCATGTAGATACCTGCGGAAATTGTACGAAGCAACCAACGCCTCAGCTCGCATCCGTCATCTGGTTTACTTTACACGGTCCAGAATGTTATTTCCGATTCACCCTTGCATACAAGATGTTATCTGCAGCATAGCACATGCAGGAACCTGCCAGAAGAAACACCAGAAGCTATGACACAAAGCAACAACCTGTCCCCCTTCCCACACCACCCTTTGCATTTCCTCTTTTTTTTTTTTCCGTTTTTGTCTTACCTTCATTGTCATCATGACCCATTTTTACCTAGTTTTGACCCCCCTGGACAAGCTTTGGGTCTGAGAAAGGGTGGCTTGTGCAGAAGTCAAACAAAAAAAAAAGGGCGAATTAGAGATGCTGTCTGGTTTGATACCAAAAAGAGAATTGCAGATAGTTTCTAGTTCAGTTTACCAGGATTCAGGCCTCCGGCCGATTTTTGACTCGCCGGGGGGTCGCCCTGTCTGTCTTTTTTTTCCTTTTTTTGGGGACATTTTTGCATGGGCGATCAGCTGCGCAGGACATTTCGGATCGCGACCGTTTTCCACCCCCCCGTTTATTGGGGACGAGGCTCCCCAAGGACATGGCGGAGCAAAAGCAGCAACTCTGGCTCCCCCGTGGTTCAGTGGGCAGCAGGGGTGGTTGTTGTTTGTGTGAGTGCAATTTCGTGTTGATGATTCATCTTGTGTTGGATGTTTGCCTAGTTTCCGTCAACTAAACTTGTTCAAGGGCCAGGGCGACCCTGCGTCACGGGGGAAGTTTCGATCTACGAGAGTCCGTTGGGGCGATGGACTCTGGGCTGCGATTTGCTGCGAGCCGCTGGTTGGCGCATTCGGGACACGGACTGGTGGTCGGGTTGACTCATTATTCGGGGATTCCTGTTGGATGCGCATGGTGGTGATGGAACGCTTGTATTTTGGGCTGGGTTTAACTAGTGTTATCGTTCCGAATGACAGTTACGTGCGTAAGGGAATGCAATGCACAAGTCATCGCCGACTGCATTCAGGCTTGACATGAGTGACGCAGAACCTGAACGGCTGCTGCTCCCCTTGATGCTTCAATCTATCAATAAAGAGGCAAAAACCCCACTGCCAAATCAAGCCCATCAAAACCAGATCCAGGCTATATTTAGAACTGGTCGGATCCTCAAAAAAAAGGGAAATACGACGTATGTCCAATTCGATCCACAAACGCTCTCTGTGGCAGCGCCCGAATCTGACCCATTTGGGAATATCTCTTGTCCATCCAGGGCAGATTATCCCCATTCTGATTTCCCTTTTTTTCTGTTGCCGGGTTTCTGGTTGAGCCTGGACAGTTCGCGTGGCTCCAGCTCTGGGATGATTCATTCGTTCAACCGGTCCAATGGTCCGTTCCTGGCCCCCATTCGTTACACAGCAGGGTCATAAAAGGAACAAATATGATCAACGTTGAAAGCCTATCTTTCGCCAGGGCGAGTTATAAATATATTGGCTGACATAAGACAAGTGCCCGTATCGGCGAGACAGCTCGTGACCGTCTCCGGATGAAGCTGCCATCTCTATTCGCGTTTCCCACCAAAGCTCAGTGCTGCGCGAAGTTTCGACCGAGCAATTGTGAATCATCGCTGTGTATTACACTGTAACATTCGTAATCGTGCGTAACGGACCACGTGGCTGCGCCTTCAGCCCTAACCAAACGGGCCTAGGTCAAAAGCCTATTCTGTGGCTTGTCTCGCTTCAGCCACGGAAACGGAACCCGCGACGGGCTGAGGAAGACAAGCAAGTTGATGCTGCTCTCAAGTCACAGACGCCTCGCGATAGTTGCAGCTCCTGGGCTAACTACGGCTTTCTAGAACTTGTTGGACCCTTCTGCATGGAATCCCCTCCGCCACGGCTGACACGTTACGCCTGGATCTGCCTTAGCTGTCGAGCTCGTTAATTGAGTCTTTATTACTCAACCTGAAAATCGAACAGACGGGCCTATATCTGGGCAACGGCGTGTCCAGCTATGAAGGTTTTTTTGGGTAGGCTAATGGAAGTCTGGTTATAGCCCCCAGGCCCCAACAGCTCGCCCCAGGGACTCGTTTGTCATCAAGCTTTTGACGGAGTTGAGGGTTCTTTCGCAAGCAATCTCACTCGTCGATAGACTCCTCTAAGCCTTACGGGCTCCATTTCCCGGGCCCATGATCGACAAGGCTTAGATCATGTCGTACAATTGACTCACAGAGCCGCCGCGGCGATCACCCCATTATTCAACGTCACTGGTCCAAAGTCCAAGGGATCATTGAGTGTCGCCTCAGATAGGTTGGCTAATTATCATGTCCTGACGAACGATAGCATTGCCGTCGGGAATGTTGCCGTATTTGCTCGGATATTGGGTGCCGGCGAATGCCCACTTTGGATTAGTTACAAAGCCCAGACCAGCTTCATGGGATGGGGGTTGCAGTTGATCGAGAAATCGTCCGAATCAGGAACAACTGGGGGCGGCGGTGCATAACCACCGTTTCTCCGACCAACATCATTTCTCTGAAAAATTGCGCCAGGCTGCAATCAGGCAGTTAGCCTATGCTTAACCAGCCTCAGATTAATCTGGGTGGTCCGTTCCTTTGAGGAGATTGCTCTACCATGAGCGAGGCTTTTGTCTTGCTGAAGAAAATCGAAGCTATTTGCTGCCTGCGCAATCGGACAGTTATTCAGGAAAGGATTATCGTAACATCCCTGGAGCTCCCCCATGTTGACCCCAGTAGGCAGAGCAGAGAACACGTTTTGATTGCCAAATGTCGACACGGATCAGGTCCCACCTAACTGCATTTGAGCAAAGACCCTTGACCTGTGCTTAGAGATCACACGTCGATGACGAATGAAGAGTCGGGCACACGGCAAGATCTCCGAGGGATTCGAAAATCTTGCATTACATTAATTCCCGACGTGTATATGCTACTAATAATGCGCAGGAGACGGCTATGGGGTTATTTAGCTTTATAAGGATTGCGCAAAACCTGAGAAAATGAAGAGACAGCAACATGGAATGGATACAGAGAGGTAGTAGTGGCCTGCCTAAGGAGAAGGCCAAGGGTAACTAGGTTTGCGCCGAGTGGACCATTATCAACAACTCTACGTCTTCCTCCCCACGAACATCTCGGCTCATGAAACTAGATGAAGGCCCGTTAAAGATAAGTTATCTCATTACGGTTCATAGATCCACAAACGGCTTATACCTCCATGATCGAAACTATGTAGTCAAGCCACGGGATTTAACTACAGCGGTGCCGGGGCGGAGCCAAAGTGACGTGGGCGAGATCAACTAACTATTGCGCAGCAGTCGAGATCGAAATGATTCAAACCTCTTCGCAGGAAAAACCATTCTCAATCTAAAAAAAATCATCATCACTGATTATCGCTTGAGAGCCTGTATAAAATCTCATTCATCTCCGGCCTCGCTGTTTTCAGGTCATATCAAGGTTAATAAACAAAAAGCGTCCGTGCTAATGCGCCGGATATGCTTGTTCCAGGCTTATTCTCATGGTGGAGGTACTGATTTTCATGGCTACAGGAACTTGTAAACAGGACACTTGAAACTGATTAAATGTTGGTGACAGCAGCGGAAATAAGTTGATTTTATCTTGATTCATATTGAAGACTAACCATATAACCAAGGGCAATAGATTTTTTTTTATAAATTAAACCCGGCAATGGGGGAGAGAGTAGATCTGATAAAACGATGAGCTGGGCCTTTCAAACGAACAGTTGCTGATTGAATAAGGACCGTACACATGGAGTTGAATTAGGGACAACAAATTGATAACATGGATCAGGCCCTTCCTATCCATCAAAAGAAAAGGAGTTAGGGAATCTAGGGAGATGTGAAGGGCCAAGTAATCCTCCACATGCCTTCCAAGGCGAGTAAAATAATGTATGTACATTCAACGGCTGAGCCAAAATTCAATATTAATACAGAAAGGGAAGCAAACCAAAAAAAGTCCACTTTATGAATCATTCAAAGTAAATGTTGAATGGCCGGGACAAAAAAAAACAAAGAACAAAGCAGCCGTTTATGGCAACACTCTTTGTCTGAAATACCGATGGAGGCCTCCCAGAGGCGCGTTCCGATCCAAGGCGCGCTGACAACGGGGAACGTTTTCAGCATGCTGATAAAGCCCAGAGAGCCTGGTGAATCCCTGTTTACACGACGGACAAAAGTACATTGGGCAACCCGCTCGCCGGCGAGTATAACGCCGGCGGGCGGGATGTCGAAGGGCGAAATTGTTAACGACGCCGGTGTTGACTCCGCTGGAGCACGTCCCGGCTTCGAGGTGGATCCGCATTGCGGAAAAGCAGGGGAATAGCCAGGAGCAGCCGTAACATTGGAGGTTGCGGGGGCGGTGGGTTAATCGATGCTAATGGTGGATGCGGTATGAGCTGATGGAGAAAATTAAAAATAAAAAAGAAAGTAAATAAGTACAAAAAATATATATATATCAAAAGACGGGCCACTCCCTCACCATCCGCAGGCTGTTATTATTCTGAAAATACTCGTCGCAATCAACACACCAGTGATGCGCCTCGGCCCGGTGCGTGTTTAACCCGGCCGCAGTCGTAAAGTCAAAGTCACATCGTGGACACTCGTGGTGGGAGCTGGAGTATCGGACATGCGCGGCCAGTGCGCGTTCGTGGCAGAATGCACGGTCGCATCTGGCGCACCACTCGTGCCGACTGGTCATGCGGCAGTGTTGGTGAAGCGCTTTGAATGTGCCGAATTCTTTGCAGCAAAAGGCGCAGGCGAAGCGAGTTGGGGGGAAGTCTGAATCGTCCGAATCGTAGCTGATTGGGACATAGCGTCCTAGATTGACCATCGTGGTGGAACCAAGTATGCGGGGGGGTTACTGCTGAATCAGACGTGGTGGAATCGAAACACGAAGTTGATGGAAAAGACGTGTACGGAGTAATATGAGGACTGCCATATTGGCGTCATCCAGCCATGTATACGGCCATCATTCACTCATAAAAAGGGGTTCAGGCTTCGATCTGATAAACTTCCATCTTTTCCGGGGACTCGGATGGATCCACTTTCTCGCAGAAGCCTCACTACCATTGGCCGGGCACTCTCTATTAAGCCGCACTAGCGCAGGCCTCGGATTCTTCGGGCCGCTGTTATCCCGCCCTAGGCTCTTAGGGTCAAAGGAGGTCACCTTAAATCAACACTAAGCATGTTGGCGCAGCGGAAGCGCGCCGGGCTCATAACCCGGAGGACCTTGGATCGAAACCAAGACATGCTATAAAATTCTTTTTTGTTTTTTTATTTCCGTAGTTATCACATCCAATAGCTTTATATTTTCCCATTCCTTTTTTTGACCCTGGAACTATTAGCGGTAGACGAAAATTGAACCAACATTCGTGACATCGCATACCCTACAGCACGAATTTCTAGCCGAAAATCTACCTACATCTATTCCAGAACGCCACCAGCTGCTCTTTTGGCAAATACCGAAAACAAATGCGTATATATGTACATTACAGACTCGCTGACAGGTATCACGCTGAGATCGAATTCTTTACCCACTTCTCCAGTCCTCCCAAGGCAATAATCTCCTGCACATTCGGCGGCAGCTCTCCAACTTTCTGCGTCCATGTAGGACCATCGGGACCTTCCTGGACCTCAATCTGGCTGCGACGCACATCCCAAGTCAGCGTCCAGCCTGTGCGGCGAGTGAGCTGTTTCGATTCAGCCCCATCGCTGCCGAACGTCTCGCGCAAGCGGGTGACCAGACGTGGAACTTCGAGGCCCATTAATGCGTTGTTGATACTGTTCCTGGAGAAGATATTGCCAAAGCTGCCGGAGACCACGAGCGGGATCTCCTTGGCCAAAATGGCCGTGGCGGCTTGCTCTCGGGAACTTCCACAGCCAAAGTTGTACCCGGTCACGAGGATATCTCCCGCCTTGGCAGCTTTGGAGAATTGCGGATCATAGTTTTCCATACAGTATTCGCCCATTTGTTTGTAGGGGATGTTGTCTTGGTAAGTGTACTTTCCAGGGTAAATGCCGTCCGTGTTGATATTGTCAGCGTCACAAAAGACAATTTCTCCAGACACTCGCTCAGGGAACCCAGGATAGACCTCGGTAAGCGCTCCTTCAGAGCTGGTTTCTTCGCTCGCAAACAATTTCTCCGCATCGTCGACCATACTATCAAGTTGACCAATCACCTTTTCCAACGCTTGTTCAGCAGTGATCATTTCAATGCCATCGCCTTCGCCTCGAACAACTCCGCTCCATTCCTCAGGCTTTTCGTACCATCCAGGACCACTGAGTTTTCCCGAAAGAGCACTGGCTGCAACTACTTCAGGGCTGGCAAGGTAGGCTTTTGCGTCTGTGCTGCCCATGCGCCCCTTAAAGTTCCGGTTGGTTGCGCTGATTCCGACTTCACCAGGCTCCAGCAAGCCGGTCCCAAGTCCAATGCACGGACCACAGCCAGCTGGAAGAGGTTCAGCACCGGATTCCAGCAGAGCTTGCCAGTCGCCTGCTTCTTCAGCGGCTCGCTGCTCAGGAATGGATGCCGCTGCGATGTAAAATTTGACGCCGTCTGCGATTTTCGGAATTGTACCACCGTTCTTTTCAGCTGCATCTTTGAACACCTTCGCAGCTGCCGCGATATCGGAAGCTCTCGAGTTCGTGCATGAGACCAAGTAGGCTTTGTCGACTTTGATGTTCTGGGATTCCAGTTCGTTCAGAGGCGTGGCAACCTTGACAGAATTGGGGCCCGCAACGTATGGTGACAGCGTAGAAAGGTCAAGGAACAATTCTTTAGCATACTTTGCCCCCTTGTCAGCAACAAGCGGTTCTTCAAAGAGTTGGTCTAGCGCCTCATGGTTAAACCGCTCGGCAGCAGAACTTTCAAGTTCAGGGACTGTCGAGCCCCACATAGCTGCCGTGGTTGCTTTTGATCTCAACCATCCCTTCAACATAGAATCAACAGGGAACAAGCCGCTCAAGGCACCCCATTCAGTTGTCATGTTGGCGATTGTCAAGCGATCATCGATTTGCAAACTTCTCATGGTCTCCTCAGGTCCGGTGAATTCGATGGCGTGGTTGAGGACATCGTCTTTATCAAATAGGCCCGCAAAGTGCAACAATTACGTCCTTCCCTGTAACTCCCTTGGAAGAACCCCCTTGAATGACACTTTGGCAACGGGTGGAATCTGCCACCACGTCTTACCCGGTGGCCCAGATACTAGCGGCGTCGGTCCCTAACAACGGGTGTACCCAGGCACCCCAACACCCACCATACATATTGGAATGACTATCAGATGCAACGACCAGAGTGCCTGGGCCAGGCGTAGCCCTCCTCCACCATGATTTGATGACCAATACCCCTACCAGCAGGGTAGAAGTCAACTCCATGGGTTTTGGCAAAAGTTTCAATCTGCTCGTATTTCTTCAAGTTCTTCTCCGACTTGTTCTGCACATCGTGATCGAGAGTCATTACTATCTGATTCGGGTCATTCAGCTTCGAGGCGCCAATCGACATAAATTTCAATGCGACCGGCCAACTGTTATCGTGAGTCATGACGCGGTGGGGAGAAATAGTCACGTAGTCGCCGGATCTGACATATTTGTCCTGGGGAAGGCCAACGGAGTACCGCTGGACGATCTTTTCCGTAAGGGTCTGGGGAACAGCCTTGGATGACTCGATTGCGGAGAGGATCGCTGCCGAGGCAGGGTCCTCCCGCTGGGCGTGGAAGACGTCAGGAGACAAGGCGCATGGTGTGGATGAAAAATATCTCGGGCATCCAAAAGTCAAAGGTCGCGGAGACGGTCGTAGTCTATAATTTGGCGTCCGCGCGAATGGGAGTGATCTGGTCTATGGGTTGTCAGAGCGGAGCGCCATGAGCCCATCGAGGAAGGGAATTTTCTTACCAAAGGCCGCCTTGAACCCAGGGAAGCCCGCGTGGCTATCCCACGTAGCTGCCGATGCAGCAATTGCTGGTAGCTACCCATCTTCCCCTACTTGCACAGTCTGCCAGTTGAGGAATCTCCAGCAATCAGCGCTGGGCTATTAGTATTATTTGTCGCGGCGTAATTTTATGCGGTGCAAACATGACAAACATGCTAACTAGTTAGTTTAAGCTCCGATCCCGGGAGACAGAGCTATCAAGGGGCATATACATAGTGAACTACGGGGGATATAGTGCACGATCGAGCTCCAGAGCACGGCTTGACGGCGATATCTCGAGATCAGAGCTTGGAATTGCTATTCACACAAGAGCAATTTTTCGACATAGAGAGGCAGATGAAATGGAAGCTCCCACTTCATGCAAACAATTAACTACGGCCTCACTCCGAATTCGGACATTGCCGTGACTCTGATAAGGTGCGATTCAAGGCCAAAGCACCCGGTTGACGCCTCTCGAGGTGTCGACTATACTCTGGGGCCCGTACTTGTGCTGTCGAAGCTTCACTTGACGATTTGTAGGGACAGTGTTGAGTCACGACTCCCGATAATCCAGTACAAGAGGGTGTAGATGACTCAATTGAGTGGACCCATAAGCTAATTAACTGGCCACTCTACAGAGGAACATATTTCTATACAGCATTTAGAATATCTCTAACCTAAAGGAAGCTTATTACAGTTCTTTGTTGTGCTCTTCTGCTGGTAGCCACCCCCACCATCGCCCTCGATGCCCCTCCTGCCCGCATAGCCCAGATTGACTCTCTCTTCTACAGTATCGACACCATTTCTCTTCCAAAGAGGTATCACTCTTGCTCAATTATTGAATCCTCCAGCCATGCCGTCTCGTTCAGAGGTCGCCTACTTCGGCGCCGGTCCTGCCCCGCTCCCCACTCCCGTCGTCGAAGCTGCCGCCAGAGCTTTTGTCAACTTCGACGACAGCGGTCTCGGGCTTGGAGAGATCTCCCACCGCTCGCCAACGGCGAACAAGATCCTTGCAGAGTCCAAAGAGGCTCTTACCACTCTCCTCGATGTGCCTGATAACTATGAGATTCTATTCATGCAAGCCGGTGGTTCAGGAGAGTTCAGCGCGGTGGTACACAACCTAGTCAGCGTGTGGATCGAAAGAAGACGGCGGAAGATCAATGCGGCTACAGACGAAGCCCTCGTCGCGGAACTAAAGAAACAAGTTGAAGAGGAGTTGAAGTTGGATTATATTGTGACCGGCTCATGGTCGTTAAAAGCGGCTCAGGAGGCCGCGCGGTTGCTGGGGGAGAAATTCGTAAATATCGCGGCGGATGCGAGAAAGGACAACGGAGGGAAGTTTGGCCAAATACCTTCCGAAGACACATGGAATCTCACCAAGACGAAAAAGGAGGGCGGGAGAGCTGCACCCGCGTTTGTCTATTTCTGCGACAATGAGACGGTGGACGGGGTGGAATTCCCGTCCTTCCCCAAGGTGCTAGAGCCACAGGGAAGCGATGGAGAAGACGATAGGATAGTGGTCGCAGATATGAGCTCTAATTTCTTGAGCAGAAAAGTGGACGTTAGCAAATATGGGATTATCTTTGTAAGGATTTGCCGACTCTTCTTCCTCCACAATCATTGCACACAGTTTAAGAACCCATGGCTAATCCAGGATAACTACAGGGCGGCGCCCAAAAGAACATTGGAGTGGCTGGAATAGCAGTGATTATCATTAGGAAAGATCTCCTGCCTCCTCACACGCTCGCCCCATCACCCTCTTTACTGCGGCAACTCAATATCGGCGGTCTCCCTGGCCCCATCGTCCTGGACTATGCCACAATCGCAAAAAATAACTCCCTTTACAACACCTTGCCCATCTTCAACCTCTGGGTCGCAGGCCAGGTCATGATCAACCTAGCCCACCTCTATGGTGCCAAAAAGGTTTCTGGCCAGGAGGAAATCGCAAACACCAAAGCACAATCGATATATGGTGTGTTGGATAAATATCCTAATGTTTATACCGTGGTACCGGATAGGTCCGTGCGGAGTAGGATGAATATCTGCTTCCGTGTCCACGGAGGCGACGCAGACAAGGAGAAGGAATTTGCAACAGGCGCAGAGAAGAGGCTGCTTCAAGGTCTAAAGGGTCACCGCAGTGTTGGAGGAATGAGAGTTAGCAATTACAATGCTGTGCCATTGGAAAATGTGGAGAAACTCGTGCGGTACCTGGAAGATTATGCTAATGGGCGAGTCTAGAGTCGACGAGCACTGATGCAATATTCTATGATGTCTTTTTAAATACGCCTAAAATAGGACGCATTTCGGTAGAGGAGAGGGATAATATACAGGCTAAATGCAAAAGTGGTTTATCGGGTGCAAATGAACAGGTATAACGAAGAAAACGGGGATCCAATGGGAAACGGTTCAATCTGACTCCAAAGCTATGCAAAAAAGGGAGAAAAAAAAAACAAGATAGCCACCAGGGGTATACGGGTAGTTTTATGAGATTTCCATTTCATAACTTCCGCACTTCCCAGTCCTTGAGGTTTAATTCTTTGAGAAGACCGCCAAGGGGACCTTGGATTTCAACTCCATTTCTCCACAACTTCGGGCCTGCTAGGTAGCTGATGAATCCATCTGGTCCTGATATCAGAATTAATTTTCGTTTCGGGCGCTGGTCCAGTTGATCCTTTTCACCGTGGCCTGTGAATTCCAATATGGGCTGCTTTCCAATGAGGGTGTTTTCCTCGTCAACAAAATAATCGACTGAAAATCGACCCCGAGATTGCCTTTTAAGCTCCTCGAGGAGTGAAACGGTAAAATTCGACTCATCATTTGTCCTTGTATTTTCTTTCCGGCCCGCTAGATTAAAATATATCCGTGACCACCAACTACTGTGGGTTGTGTCAGGAACGTCACTTTGCCCGCCCAGGCAGTCTTCTCTCCTTCTGTTCGCCCAAAGTACATGCATTCGAGTATTTTTCGATTGCCTATCTCTGAAAATCGTATGTGCAGCCTGCAATGCCGGTGCTATCCCAGTCCCGCCCGCGATAAAGAGGACTTCCTGCACATCATCCGGCAATTCATAGTCCATCTGCGGGCCACGAAACTCCAATATTGCCCCGGGTGCCAGGGAGTGCAGGTAGCCGGAGATTTCACCCTGCGGCTCCCTCCGAATCAAAAACTGCATATTGTCGCCGTCTTTGACAGCATCGTCGATCGAGAGTTCATCTTCCCTGATCGGCGGCAGTGGCGTGTAATCCCTTCCAACCTGTAACTGCGGCTGTTTGAATTGTACACTCCACAGCCCTTTCCTCCACGCCTCGTGGTAAACCTCGTAGTTTCGCGCTTGGGTGAGCGGCCGTACGGTGAACACGCTGCAGGTAGAAGAAATAGGCTGTTTGGAAATGAGTTCGTATTCTGTAAAAGTCAGAGGATTCAGCTCAGAGTTAGAGGCCCCTCTGTTGTATTGAAAGTATGCGCCAATTCCACCCGCGGCAATGGTGATAAGGGTGATTTGCAGCCAGCTGCTTCTCTTTGGAGCCGGCGAGGGACTTGCATCTTTGCTGGTGGTATTGCGGCGCAATTGGACGGTCCGCGGTTTCGAAAAGCTCCGCCATGCCGGGGCCCGGATTGCCGACTCGAAGCCCCTCGACAGGGAGGTTTTAGGGAGCATTTGCGGACTATCGCGGACGAGGGAGTTGTTTTTGTCTTCTCGATCATTTCAGGCTGAAGAAATAAACGTGACGCTAAGAAGCTTGTCCGCTTAGTAAGATCGACGGCTATTCCGCTTTTGATTCTCGGCTGGCGACCAGGGGAAGAATGGCGATCGTGAGATGATATTGTTGATACGATCAGCTTCTCTGACCCTCGTGGCCTATGCAATGGGCATAGGGACAGTATTATCTTGAGTCATTTGCGATCCGTTTGATGATTATGCTGTCCTGATTGACTCCTCTCCCCCAACTATGGCCCTTCCCCGAATCGAATCACCAAGATTTGTCCGTGGATAACCAGCACGAGAATGGCTCCCGTAGCATTTTCCGAACCTCTACGGCCCGGCGCAGATGCAGCCCGAGACTCTCTCGAACTCGCCTCCTTGGCTTCGTCTTTTGATTCCGTCCACCATTCATCCAGATCAACATCCCCGTCCGGGGTCTCTTCGTCGCGGAGAGCATCCCTTGAAAACCAAGACCCCCTTTCAGACTCGCCATACGATGCCACCCGGCCCAGACATGCCCGCTCCTACTCCGTTTCGTCCGCTTTCGACTTTGGGAACAACTTATTCCCCCTATCCCAAACGGTCGGCGGGTATGCTCCTCTCGGAGCGCCATCAGTATCGTCGTTGGAACATCATGCGGGCCTGATCGATGGCTCCCTCGAAAAGCGCAAGACACTGACGTATCTCAATGGATTATCCTTGATCGTTGGATTGATTATCGGGTCTGGAATCTTTTCCTCCCCCGGTCGAGTGAGTACGAACACGGGGTCTCCGGGCGCCTCTCTGATCATATGGGCTGTGGCTGGGCTTCTTGCATGGACGGGCGCGGCGAGTTATGCGGAACTAGGAGGAGCAATCCCCTTAAACGGAGGCGCACAAGTCTATCTAGCAAAGATATTTGGGGAGCTGGCAGGCTTTTTATTCGCCTGGTGTGCAGTGTTTGTTTTGAAACCGGGCTCTGCTGCGATTATTTCCATAATCTTTGGGGAATACGTCGTACGAGCGATTGTCGGAGCGGATGTTGAGACAGTCAATCCATGGATCAATAAAGCGGTGGCTCTCCTCGGAATTATTGTCGTGACCGTCCTTAACTGCATATCGACCAAGTTGGGTACGCGAATCGGAGACGTGTTTATGTTCTTCAAGTTCATAGCACTCCTTGGGGTTACCATTACGGGGATAATCGTTGCATGCACCGGGTTTTCGTATGATGGAAAACCTAATACGGATTGGAAAACCACAGGATGGTTTGAGGGAACCAATAAGGATATATCCAGTTTAGCTGTGGCGTTATATGCCGGGCTTTGGGCTTTCGATGGATGGGACAATGTATGTGTCTATCCGACTACGATGTGGCCCATATTCACGTTGGCTAACTACGAATGCAGACAAACTATGTCACCGGAGAATTCAAACGTCCAAATCGCGACTTACCCCGTGTAATTCACACTGCTATGCCCCTGGTGATTCTCTGCTACATACTCGCAAACATCTCTTATTTCTTTGTTTTACCCTCTTCCACCATTGCTGGAACCAACACCGTTGCCGTTCATTTTGGCAGCAAGGTATTCGGTCCAATTGGCGCTTTGGTCCTTGCACTTGTCGTGTCCGGAAGCTGTATCGGCGCCCTCAATGCGACTACCTTCACCAGTGGTAGACTCGTCTATGCTGCTGGGAGAGAAGGCTATCTGCCCTCCGTATTCGGCAAAATTGGAATTGGAGGTTCAGCCAATCCCACTAGTGGCCGTCTACGAACACGCTCCTGGTTCCGCAAAGCCCTTGTCCGCTTGTTTGGAGATGATATTGGCATTGGCTATACGCCCATTTACGCCATGGTATTTAACTCCGCTTTGTGTGCTGGCTATATTGCCGTGGGCGAATTTGGCACGCTAGTCACATTCTACGGCGTGGCTGGATATACCTTTTATTTCCTCACGGTACTGGGTCTCATCGTTCTGCGCATCCGGGAACCCCACTTGGAGCGTCCATACAAAACATGGATAACGACTCCCATCATTTTCTGTTGCGTCAGCCTATTTTTGCTCAGTCGAGCGGTTTTTGCAGAGCCACTACAGACGCTTATTGTCGTGGGTTTCATCGCTGCAGGAGTTCCCGTGTACTTTTGGAGAATTTCCCAGCGAGACGGGAAAAGCAAGCTCGGGAAAGGATGGTGGAAGTTCTGGAAAAGATGGGGCCGGTCGTGACTTTGAAATGTCGCACGCAGACCCAGCGCGCGCGCTAGAAGCATGGCCAATTCGATAACCAAGATTTATTTCGCGGCAGCATATTTTAATGAAGCTATATCTTCATAACAGCATTCGGTGTTTTATCGTGCAACTATGGATGTTTTGCGCTGTACATTACATTTACCTTTACTCGATGTTCACCCTCATCCTATTTTCGATACACTTAAATATGTCCCGGATAATATCGACTTTTAATGACCGACCAACCTCTGGGCCTCTCCCGAAATAGCTCGTAGAATATGAAATGGCACCAGCCTCTGGGCAAGACAGTAGGGCTTTACTCCGTGCAATATCCCACGTACTGGAAAATCGAAATATCAAAATCGGGCTAAGAATTGAGTGCAGGTTTATGTTAGCGACCCTTAGGTGGATGAATGGTAAAGCACTTGCCACCATTGCGTCTGTATAGCGCTGGTAGTCAATGGGTTAAGATCCAGCATTCCCAATGCTGGGGACCGGGTTCGAGTCCCGGCCGGCGCAGAGCTTTGAAACTTTTGTTTTTTACTTCTTCCAGTTCGCACTGGAATCTCTTATATTTTTGGGGATTATATTAATGCTTCCGTAGTTCTCGTGTTATTGATGTGAATTTATTAATCATAAGAAGGTTCATCGCCGAGAGAACTTGTAACTAATTCTGGAGCAAGCACATATAGGAATGTTCGCTTAATCTAGATAATTGATAATTTCATAAAACAAGCCTAGCTTGAAGACCGCAGGCTGTGGTGCCCAGAAGAGAAGAATTTGGCTAACATTTTATGGATATCATTGATTGGTATGGTTTTTCGCTCTGGAATCAAAATATTTACGGAGTACTCAAAGAAAATTCTAGAATTCGCGCATTTAAAGATAACATATGGCAGATATTAGACCTAGCATAGAAACCCAATTCTTAACATGTATGAGAATGCACCAATGTCTCGTGAATAGAGCCTTGAGGCTGGTTCCCTCCAATGAATCTCACAGTGAGAATGATCTTGTCTAGCCCTATAGTTGCCCCGGCTAAGAACCTGACCGAAAGGCAGCGTCTAGACTACTTGTTGAAAGGGATATCAATCTCCCTCAATGGCAAAAGAGCCACAAACCACTATGGGTACATGTCAAACAATCTTGACATTACCATGGTGTGGCGAGAGTGAAAAGCCGCTCAATTTGATACTGCAAAGGTTCCTATGATAACCTTATCAAATCTGATTCCACAGACATCAGGAACTTAGAGATTTTATCTCGGATTGCGAGCTTCGGGGACCGGTGCCCGTTCAGTTGTGCTGTGCGCGCTGCGTGGGCGTTGGCTTTGAGACTGAGGGACAGTGGGCAAGGGGTCCATGGACGTGGGAAACGGGCGACCGATACAGTCTGGCTCAATCCAACCCGCTCGATCCCGCTCATTTTCCCGGAGCAAATGCTCAAAGGCGGCCTGTAATTTAGCTCTTGTGATATCAGGAGGGAAAATAGCGAGATTCCCTGTTGGACTCGGTTTTCAGCACCATTATTTCCCAGTGACGATGTGCAATTCGCCAATTTCGCATCTGTACTGTGAATTCATTCCACAGCTGAGTGTTGACCTCGAGTTCTTCGGCTCGCTGAAGTTGGGCTGCCTGAAGCAGCGCATTTTCGCTATTATACTGAGGATCAAATCGAACATATTGGTTGAACACTATCCGGCCAAGACTATCGCGAAGTTGGTATCCCGGCGCTTCAACGGTTAAGTGAAGGTATACCGGCTCGTTTGCGTTGTTAAACTGAATCACTGTTCCTGTTCCTGACGGCACAACGCTAAGGGGAGCCAGGCCATCGATAGAGATGCCAACTTTGAGGGGCGCAGCATGGTGTTCAGCCGGCCTGGGAGGAGGAGCCGGCCCCGAAGGTCCACTAAAGTCCCATCCTTTTGATGGGTTAACACGTATCCGTGCATACTCTGGGGTGAATCGAAGTGTATGTCCAGCAATGAACCGTTGACGTCGTGGAGCCGCAGATCGATGGCTGCCACTCTCCTGTTGAGGCACCGTGTTAGGTTGCGACTGCGTTCTAGCTTGCGGGATGCTTTCGAAAAGCCTCCACAGGTCCTCTATTGCCACCTGGTTATCCAGCCCATGGCCGTGGAGGATATCTTTCAATTGATTTAAGGGGTCCATGGCAAAGTGTATCCGTGGTTAATTCAAAGGCTTTTATAAGAGAAATTTTAAAGCCTGTGTTAGACCTAATGTTGTAGAATATGGTTTGGCAAGTGCTGGGTGTTGAGGAACACTCTCAGGGGGGTATTTATAAGGTAGGAGGCTTTATGGGCGAGGGTAGATAACAAAGTGATTGAAATTACTTCAATCACAGTTGACAAATAACAACCATTCAGGGACAAACAACGTGGTAAAACAGTGAATGACCAGGAATGGAAAAGTAATATATTACTTCTCTCGTACAAGCTGGTGATGGTAGTTGTAGCTGTTATACAAGGAGGTTGGTATATCGCAAGCTCTTGACTAGTTATACCATCACTCCTGGCAAGATAACATGCAAGCGTGAAGAAGCCCAGGAGTCATACTTGACAGTAAGATTTCTATCGACTTAGAAGGTGTCTGTTCTAACTATGGAAAATCCGTTATTATGTCGATTGGCTCGTTGACATCGATCTTTGCATCTGGAGCCCGTAATACTGCTGGAAGGGGTGGCTTTCGAGTATAATGTCCGTGTCGGCATGTAAGATAGCTAAATCGTAATGCCCTCGTGAAGATGGCGCGAGAAAAAGTAGCTCTTCAACATGGGGCCCGATAGCTCCTGTGGTCTGACGGGGTTGATGATCTGTATCCCGGTCTCGCAACCCTCTATAGGTAGTTTCTCTGATAATTCAGGCACGTCTTGCTCTCCGGCTTCTTCGTCGATCCAGAAGGTCTCGGTATAATGAATCGCTTCGGCAGGAATATATGTTATATACTTATATTTCCAATTGAGCTTCCCACCCTGAGTGTATATATATTTGTGCATTACAATCACTGGTCTCAATGGTTTTCTTCCATTGAGCCCAGATCTCTGGTATATTGCGATAACTCTTGCTCGCTCTCTTAGTGTGTCCGATAGTCAAAACTGGTGCGTGTACTTATTCTTCACAGCATCGAATCCGGGTGGTATCCAACAGGAAGTACTGATGCCGATATCCAAGTGTAGTTTAGCCTAGCGCACACCAGGCTTTGATGAATAAAGTATGGTCGACAATGGTACAGATATCGTCCCTAACCACGGAATCCGTATGTTCGCCGACACCAGCGGGACAGGAGGTGACCATATTGAAACAAGAAGTAGGGAAGCCTAGAAAGGCCATTGTCGCGATGCCATGGCATTTTTATTTGCTGCTGAGAAACTGAGTTGCCTCCTTAAATGCCTTGATAGATATTGATAAAACGTGGAATATAGCTGTGGTTGTCGCTTGAAGCCTCTGGGTTTCGAAACAGCGCAGGTTTGGATTGGGTCGAATGGATAGAGCTTCGCAGTTCCCCTTCTCCAAGTCGGTAAAAGCATTTAACTATGCTGATTGATATATCCCGTAAAACCGGTGGTATTTCAATGGTTGCTCCTCCCGTTGCTGGTTTGGGTTTGCTCATGATGAGGAAAAGACTTATACTTCTTCTATTCTCCTTGTTTGTTCCGGGCGATCTCAGTTCGGGGGTGCACGTTTTCCGTTTGCATTTCAGGAGTATTTGTTGCCTTTATCCACTGGGACAGCATGCTTTGGTTCTTTATGCTTTTGGTTCAAGAGCTGAGAACCTCATGATGTTTGAAGCTAGATGCATGGATACATATTAAAGATGGGTATTAGATTCCTGCACTCATAATAGATTTTTCATAAAGCAAATCGCACGGCACTCGGTGCCTTGAGAAACGAAGGATGTTGGATATTGGGGACGTTCAAGCTGCCAATTTATAGACACTCTCCTGCCAAGCATCCACGGAAGCTTGCGAAAAACAATTAGTTAACGGCTGGAACAATCACAGCTAAACACAACTCAATCATGGCAAGAATCACAGCTATCAGGAAATTGATTCACGCAGAGGGACAAAGGCCCTAATGCTCCTGCGTCGAGTCAATGCCCCGCCTCCCCTCTACCCTCCTCCGTCGCGCATACACCGTCGATCCCCTCCTCCCTCTCCTCCTCCGAGAATGTCGCGATCTAGACTCCGCGCGGAACGAGCTACGATGGCTTCGAGAGCACGCACAATCGCGTGACGCTGCTAACATCCGCGGCGATGCCTGGCAGCAGCGGCAGTTGAGATCTATGGTGCGGGACCGTTCAAGGGGGAAACCTTTGCAGTATATACTTGGGGACCAGCCCTTTGGGGACTTGGAGATTCTATGTAGAAAGGGCGTCTTGATTCCTAGGTACAGAAGTGCTATCTGCGAAACAGTTGAATAAAAGCTCTGTTAGAATTAATGATCCATATTTAATTAGGCCCGAGACGGAAACGTATACTGCCCGCACCGCGCGACTGATACTATCAGAGCTTGGTGCGAGACGGCCTTCCACGGCACCATTCCGTATCCTTGATCTTTGCACCGGCACGGGCTGCATACCTTTGCTCCTACACTCGCTTCTAGCGCCATCAATACCAAATCTCACCATAGTTGGGATCGACATCAGCCCCAAAGCCCTGAATCTCGCAAGGCGGAATTTAGACTACAATATTTCGCGAGAGCACCTCTTGCCCCGTGCCAAGCAAGATGTGCACTTTCTCCAAGCCAATGTTCTCCATGACGAAGAGACACAACGGCTAAACGGCGTGGCTACCACAGTCCCAGGTCTCCCGACTGTCCTCCTAGATTTTCCCCCTGCGGAAGCAAACAGCGGAGCCAAGAATGCTGATTGGGATGTCCTGATATCGAATCCGCCGTACATCTCAACCGCTGATTTCGGCGACGGAACTACAAAGCGGAGTGTGAGGCTCCACGAACCGAAGCTGGCGCTCGTCCCTCCGCCGCTGACATCGTCTGGTCAAAGCCAGAAGATGGCGTACGACGAGATAACGGCACGGGAGGATTCCTTTTATCCTAGATTATTAGATATATCCGAGCAAATCGGTTCAAAGTTGAGTATATTTGAGTGCGGGGATCTAGGACAAGCTAGGAGGATTACAGCCATGGTAGACGAGAGGAAGAGAAGTGGTTCTCTTTCAAGGAAAGTGAAGACTGAAATATGGAAATGTGACGGATTCGAAGGCAACGATACAGTCACCTCTGGTGAAGACATTGGAAACCAGAGTGATGACGATCAAGGGGCGCGGGCTGTTGTCATGTATAGAAACACTGTATCACGGTAATAGTGATTAAGTTGTTAGAGTCTGTCACCTGCTACCAAACATTACAATAAACCAGTAGTTGAAGTCATCAAAAGCGATTTAGTGAACATGAATATATACTAGTGAAGGCTGGATAATTAAGGAATGTTCTCATTACATGCCCTTGGTTCTTCCTCCCAGTAAGTCAACCCATGGCAGCCAGCATGCCATATGTATGCAATGCAAGACCCAGACAAACCCTTGCTCCATCCTGAACGCCTGCAGCCACAAATATTAGTGCAGATTCCCAATACAAAAACTTCACCGGGATAGATGCCTGATGGCAAATGTGGAGTTTTAAATGCAAGTAGGTGTGATCCAATAGAAGCCATCGTATAGTTCTTTTTCTATGATGGACTTGTATGCTTTTTTCTTTCCTTTTCCAAGGGAATACCGACCCAGACAAGAACATCGCCACGAGAGAGAATGGAAAAATAACAGACAGATGCTCTACAGGGCAGCAAACACAATGCCGGCACCAGCAAGACCCGCAAACATCCGCAGGGGGTATTCGGGCTTCATTGTCGGGACTGCTCCAGCGCTGGAACTAACAGGTCGACCGTCCATTCCAACAGTCGCAGTGGAGATGGGAGTTAAGGTGGTTTGGACGCTAGCAGTGGGCGTGATGCCAGCACTGGACACGGCGCTGGCGACACCTGTGGCGTCGGGAACGCCGTCCCGTCCGGATTGAATCTCAAGAATTTCGCTGTCCGAGGTGTTGAAGCGGGTTTGGGCAAGGGATATTTCTTCGTTTTCGAGATCGTAAACGACATAAGCGCTGCGTAGGAAGGTATCGCCGAGAATTGAAACGGAGCCTTGCGCAGGAGCGATACCGAAGATACAGGCGTCGGTGCCGTCGTCGAATTGCAGAGTCTCGCCGTTTCTATTTGGGCCAGGGTTGATGACCAGCTCGTCCATGCCGACGGAGATATTAGGTTCGGAGAATGTGAAGACGAGGTCGGCCTTGGTGCTGGCAATGTCGCACGGAACATACGCGGCGCCGAATTGGGAGTCGTAGACGGCCGACACAGCATCGTAAATATCGGCTACGATCGCGTTTGGAAGATAGCAGAGGCTGCTCCCAGTGTCGAGCACGACGCTGAATGGGAAATTGGCACTTGGGAATCGCTGTTCACCATCGGCGGTCTTCACGGACAGTCCGGTCAGGGCGACGGCAAGATCTTGGTATCCTGTGCGACGGCTGACGACGGGAACGGATTTCAAGGAGTCGTGGAATTTTGCTTTGTTGACTCCGCCGAACAGGATCTCTCCTTTGCTGGCATCAAGATCATTGAGCCAAATGCTATACGCGTTCGAGTTGATGAGCTTTGCATCTACCAATGCTTGCGGTAGGTTGGGATACGGTGGCTGATCGTTCCGAACAGCTTGAACTTCATTTGACGTGAACCCGATGCCTAGCACGCCCTCTACGGTCAAGAACACTCCGAGTCAGCAACCGTCGATAATATCAAACTGCAATCTCCCTGCTTACCCCTCGAGGTTGACTGATAGCCAACGGCGAACTGGAAATCGTCCAAGGTGACTCCGCCAAATTTCAAGGTATCCGTGACATAATCTCCAACGGCGCCAGAGCCATCAGCGTAGGTGATGTTGAAGTCATCGTTGATACGTTTGTACGTCGATGATCTCTGAGGGTCATATGTGCCGCCGACCTCGCAGAGGTTACGTCGATCACGGCAGATGGTTGAGCCGGGAGTGTTCACCCATAGGTCGCTACTCCCGGTATCAATGTGCATCCGGAGTTGCTGCGGCGGCGTGCCCAGCGTCAGATTGCAGAAATAGAGGGTTTTCTACAGACGGATCTCTTCGTTAGCAGGGTCCCTCTCGTCGCCTCGATCTGACCCCTGCTCTCCCCCGGCCGTTTTTGAAACCCCGTCAAATGCAGGACTGCAGAGTCGACGGTCACGAGGCATGCTGAAGGGAAATCTGAGAAAAAAGAAACATGCAGGGACACGTACCTCGTTGTCCAGAACCTGGTTCACCACCTTTGGTTTATCATTCTGCCGTCTTTGCCTCCGTTTGTCATAATCGACTGGGTTCACAATCTTTTTGCGCTCAAGCTCAAACCCGACCACAGCTGGAGTCGATCGCTTTACCAATTGGACTGCTTCAGTGGTTTGAAGGAATGTCGTGGCGATCGCCAGCGACCAACAGAGGATCTCGCGCATTGTAAAGCAAGAAGGGGGAAAGGCAGAGGTATGGCCCGAGCGAAAAGGAGTCCAATTTGCACAGGTCGACGTCGGTTGTGCAGCGGGATTATATGGCGTCGCAGCAGAACAAAGCCAGGCTGCAGGGGTCGTGCTGGACGAGCTCTGAAGGAAAGGGGATTGCAGATTCCTCTTGATGCGCCGTGAAATGCCCAAGGAAAGGGAAATTCGAAAGCAAAACGTGCGACGACACCGGTTGTAAGGCTATTTTTACAGAGTCCAGAGAAACAATTGCCTCAAAAGTGCCGTCTGGCCAAGAGGGAGGAATATTTGACAAGATGCAAGCCGAGAAACGGCTCTGGCCGGAGTGCGAGTTTATGATGCATGTCACAGGCAAAAGCAGGGAGTTGATCGTTTTTATCCCGTGGTTCACCCGCACCGGTTCTGCGACTCTAAATTATGTTTAAATTTGCGCCTGAACAGGGCCAATCTCTGGATGATCATTGATCGTGGCCTTGTCCACGCCGCCTCCATGCCGTCATCAAGCGCTGCTCGTGTGGAGATACCAAGCTTGCAGAAGCTGAGGCCAAGCACCCCTTTCAACGCTGCGACCACACACCGCGATCTCCTTCAACGCCTGTCTCAAGAGTCAAGACCGGCTCCTCCGCTTCGTCCCAACCTCCCGAGCGTTGCGTTTCGAGCAGCCCGTTGCGCCGGTCTCAAACCGCACGAGAGTCACAAATTGCTGGCTGAACCACAGTCCACCAGCCACAGGCCGAGCTCCCGACTCGGATGCCAAGCCTGGGCGTGGCCAATCACCACGCGCCATACGCGGGCCGGCTGGGCTTACATAAGTGCTGACGCGGACTGCGGCTCTGTTTCGGCCTTTCTAGACTCCGGCGCCAAGCCTCGCCCGCGGCCAGCCAATCACGGCCCGGCGATTTTGCCGGCAGGGCCCTTCCCGAATGGGCAGCAAGCAGCTTCGTGGTCGCGCTTTCCCGACCAGAGCAGGACAGCCTGCAATCAGAAAAGGGAAAGAGGGTTGTCACACTGGAGGAAGGCGCGTCCTGTGCCACGTCACTTGCTGGATCGGGGTGACATCGCATATAAAGAGCGTGGAGGCAGCGCGTCTTGGACTCTTTCGCGAGTCCCTGCATTGTCACACCTGATAACACTTGTACTGACATTGCGACAGGTACTACGGCAGATGGCCTCCCTCCACGGGGCTATCTGGATGTTGATCAGCTCTTTTGCAGACGAGTGCTCTCCTTGCTAAAATACCTTCATACCCAGCCTCTTCCTCTTTAGGACTCCGGGAACTGGAATTGGGGTTTGAAAATTGCACTCTGAACGAATACATCACAATAAAACGGTCAGGCGAACGCAACGCGTTCCGTCTCCTGAATTACTCCCACCAAACGGACAAGATAACCAGGATGGAAACAGTGGTAAAAGAAGGATTAAACTGTTTCTATTATATTAAGGTGTACGGAGGACATGCCTCAACCTTCTAAGACATCATGCTCATATCAGCCATGGGAGCAATTCTAAGATCAAGCGCCAAAGGGGGTGACCCGGGAAATCGCCGCGTTTACTCTATTTGTATAGTCCAGTCACCTCCTTCGTTTAATCGTCTGATTCTTACTCCTCCGTCGTTACCACAAAAGAAACAAAAAGAAATAGAAGTTAGTCATTATCCGGTCGTCGTTGCCATGGACTTCCCGGGTGTAGACGCGCGTTCGTATCGCACCTCGAATTCGGTTCTCTGTAGGATTTCTTCCCTTGAATCACTATCGTTCCACTTATTGGCTTCACTCTCGCTGGAAATGACAACCGTGTTCATGTCTGTTTTCGTAGTTGCGGGCGATCGCTCGTTTCTAATTCGTGACCGCAGCGCGATACTTGCGTCCAGAGGTCCAGACTTATTTTTAGACTGGAGGTACGACGACGTTCTCGCGTATGCAGAGGGCCGTTTGCGAAGAGTGAATAGTGACTTGAAGGAGGCAAAGCACGATGTCATCACCGCGACGGCGCTTTCCATGGAGCTCCAGAAAATGAGCCACGATGGCGGCGGATGCTTGGAGGTGTTGTCGTTCACGACGATCCGAAGAATAGACATCGCGATGACGGTGAAACCGAGAGCAAACAGCCCAACCAGACCGAGCTTTTGTGGCAACGGAAGGTAGGAAGTAAGGATGAACGCGACAGGGAGGCTCATGACTGGGTTGGTCAGTTAGTCAAAATTATATCTAAAGCTGTGGAATTTTCCATTAAGATATCAAACATACGTAAGAGATCAGTCAGGATATCGGACGCGGCAGTGAATCGAACAGTAATCAAATCTCGCTCAATATCATCCGGCGCGGTGCATCCAACTACAACCCTGGCGTTAGCGAGACGTTGGTACAGGACAACGATATGGGACTACTCACAGGCCCGTAGGTCTGAGCATGCAACGGGGGCCAGGATTATCGTGACCACCAGTCCAATGGCTGTAATGGCGGCAATGGCCCACCATGCTTTACGGAACCGTGGTAGATTTTTGACAAGTCTCCAGAGCAGCGCCAGAAGGCTTGCCTTGACCGAATAGAGACAGAGGACGAAGAGAATATTGGCGGAAAACATTAACTTCACCAGGTACGTGACCTGGTCCAGGAAATCAGGCGGTTTCGGCACCCCGAAATATGTACTGATCATCAGGTAAATGGCGGGAGCAACCAGCGTGGCAGCTATATTATGACCCAAAAGAAGGACATAAGCGATGCCAGCAAAGACGTCGTCCCAGAAGAGTTGTCGATGGAGCCATAGTCGGATCGCGTAGCGAGCGATGAGAAGCATTGTGGTGACCGTGAAGAACACCCAAATCGTTATCTAGTTAGACATGTCAGACAATCACCAACTCGCAACGGTTGGAACTCGGTTCAACAGCATACCAGCAACGCCTCGCGAGGGATGTTATTCGACAACACCGGCTTGTCCTCTGCGCCCGCCATGATGACTTTTTACTCGATTGTTTAACGCCAGGCACTAGTTAATTGTCGACGACCAAATCCTCATCCTCCTCCAAAAATCCCAGATGATGGTCTATCAACACGATCGAGCGCATCCCATTCGGACTGATATTTTGTGCAAGTAAAATCTGTGTCTCAATAGGGTTTGAAGAGGTCGTCCGGGAACAGACATGATTCTGGAAAACCTCTCTCATATAACATCCCTGGCATTTTTCCCCGCGGGCGATCTCCACACATGAAGGAATTCACTGTGGCAGCGGTTCCCAACCAAGGGGGCGAGGACGGTCGTCCCAGTTCTAGCTCGCTCCACTCTGGCTTGCCGCTGCCACAGAGGTCTCAGCGAGCGTTGCATATCTAGAGCAGTTGTGGTTTAGTTCGGCTCAAACGAAAGCTAGTCCACAACTTTGATCACGGTGGATGGGGCTGGTCCTTTTGCAAAAGCGAGATCCGGTTCCACAAGAGCCCGGATTGTCATGCCGGGAAGAGCAAATGCTGTGGGATTGCCAAATCCTCATTGGAAATCTGTGGGTAAAGAGAGTTTTACACCAGATTAGAGACTTTCAGTCTCCGGAAATTCACCGTCCGTCCCATCTCAGTCGCATCGTGGAAGTGAATTATTGAGGAGCAATTTTCGTTCGCGCTTTCGGCTGATGGTTTTCGCGAAAAGAAGCTTTCGAAGAGAGCCGGTGCAAAACACACATTCGGCTGTCCTCTGGGCCAGCTTCTCCATCAACTAGTTGCTGATTTCGCCTCTTGCCTGTGTGTTCCCAGCCGATCGGACAATATAGCCATTATTTCCTCCTTCTCAAGGTTGATCGTTCGTCGGGTGTCTGACTTGGAAAAGGTTCCCTGCAAATCCGTTTCAACTTCCCTGTATGAAGTAACAAACCAGGCTTACAGACACCACGCGAGCTGCTGGGAAGCACCCCAGCTGCTACCCAGGGCCTGGCGATCGAACCCAGCCCTTTTCGCCACAAGGAGGGGGATGGTCGTGATATGATTCGTAGGATAAAAATTGAGAGGCGTTCGTCGATCTTGAAATAATGTTGACCTGGGGAAGAAAAATGATTTCTTTTTGTGAAATCCATCTTCATTTGCTTTGGCTTCGACCAAATCCTCCACGCTCAAAGACTAGTCGGGGGCGGCTCACCAGGGCGTCCTTGCAAGTTGAACTTTAAGAGGCGCATGACATTTGATGAGAAGAAAAAAGAATCATTATTAATGTGTTCTGCATGACCCAGGAGGAGCCCGGCTGGCCTGTTATCTGGATCTGTTGAACATGCAGGTCAAATCTATGCAGAAAATTCCGACATCTCGAAATTGGCAGATGGATATCCTGAAGGGCAATTGTCCATCAGCACTTTTGAAAAGTGCAGAGTAACTATATCCCCTGCCTCCAAGGCTTACAAAAAAATTGGGTACTCAGTGTCATGCAGTGAGGTGACACCGAATGAGCCAGGGAGCAGCTGCACCCCTAACTGACCACTGTCCGCTCAATGGCTTGATGTTTCCATGCTCCATTGGCGGTTGGCTTGCTGAGACTCGAGAGCATGGCTGGAAGATGAATGCCACAACTATTCAATGATTTGTTAACTGGTTGATGGCCGGTCTCTCTGCTTTATATAGCAACTTTGAAAAGTGGCTCAAGCCTCTTTGTCGCGCGTTGAGCCTTGAGGTCATGCAATGCACTTTGCTTTTTTTTTGAAAGTTACCACACGTCACAAATGAAGACTTTATCCACTGTGTTATGCCAATAATCTTTAAGCCTTGGAAGCCGGTGACTTAACACTGCAGTTCTCATGATTTTCCTATCTGCATGCCCGGAGTTGTCCCTGAAGGCTGACAGAGGCTTTGAACAAGCTTTAAACTGACGCCTGGCCCCTGCGTCCAGTTATGCGATATCAGGCTAGTTTTGTCGACGGATGCAGACTCCGTCTTTCGTATTCATACGTGAAACCGCGGGGAAGTCGTCTCTGAACGACTCCTGTCTAACTTGTTAGTTAGTTCCTTCTGATTGAACCAGTGACAATCAAGCCTCTGAAGACAGCCCAGTTCGCAGAAACCGCTTCGCAAACTATGAGCCACCATTAATGATTGGAGAGCTGCTGTCTCAGACACTCGATGACTTTTCTCATTTTCTTATTTAGCCTCGGAGTTGGCTCCAGCCTCCAGCCGCAGGATTCTCTGTTTTTTGGCCTGTTCTCAGCGCTGGGCCCTCTCCACATAACTACTCCGTAGACGGTGGGGAGAAGCCATGGTTCTGAGATTCAACCATTGGACGGCTACAGAGTCAAAAACTGAGGCACGATATTCTTGCACAGGAGTTGCCGACCTGGAGGCAACAGCAGGTGGGAACCTGCCATACTTCGCCGTAGGTAGTTCGCTTGAGGGCTGGCATCACAAAACGACCACTCTCAACTTTCAATAACGACTTGATGGTGACCGTGAAAGGGTTCCGCCACACGTTGCGGTTCATCCACTTTATCATAGAAAATGCATTATCGTGATTATTAACTTCCTCACTGTTCCCGACCCAGGAATCGAACCATGGTTCGCTCCGCTCGGCGCACGGGTCATAACCGTCGACTCCATATCTTTTGAGCGAGTCAATCGTTGGAAGTTTCGAGCCATTATTTCTGATTATTTCTTTTGTTTCTCAGGTCCGACAACGACTGGGGCCTGAAAAGCAGGTACCAATCTTTGCGCTCTCCAAACCTCACAGCGTTTTTCACGTGAAAAAAAAGAGAAGTGGCCAGAATCTGCCGACGAGATCCTCTCCATGCGAAATACACTTCCACCCAAGCGAACAGCCCAAGTCTCATCGTGGTCTGGGCTCAATATCCGCTCTTCGACCTGAATTTGCGCATAGTTGATCTTTCTAACCGCTAGAGAGTCCCGAAAAATAGATGCAAATCAAAGAAAAGGCAAGTCATGATTCCTCTTTTTGAGTATTTTTTGTGGGACCTCGGGTAATCAATAAAGGCAAGATTGGGGTTCTGCGGGCCTTCACCTTGATCGCAGAGACGATAAATCCTTGCGCACCTTGTCTTGCGACATCATGAAACGTCTCTGTAACTCCTGTCAAAACAATGAGCAACAGGTCAAGACGGGCTCGGACTTCTCCGTAGTCTCAAGGCCTACAATGCCCTGAAGCAGTGAAGCGGCTCTTGATCCACCAGAAGCCCACATGGCACCGAAAATGGGAATACTTGGAAAGCATAAAAGGTCCCCATGCAACTCCATCGTGCCGAATGATTTTCAAGGCTTTGGGTCCACCGTCCAAGCGAAGGTTGGCCTGTTCCAATCTTGAGCGTCGATGCAAGGCACAAATAATAATAATGGTAATATGAAGATAATATGGGGAATGGTTGATGAGCCCAGACCAGTCAACCGATCCTTAAGCAAATATTAAACCACGAACGAGCCCAGCCCAAGACTCGTTTGTCCTTCCCTTGAGATTTCGGCTGTTAATTGTTAATGCACAGACCCACAGGCTTGCTCACAGAAACCTTTTGGCCATCCACCTTATTATATGGGGATTTGTAAAGTGTGGTAGCGAGACCCGACAGAGGGGCAATCATTCCGCGTAGATAGGTTTGATTTGTTGAACCCGACTAGAATCGGCCGCTAGCTATCAACGGGAGGCGAATGCGAAGCGGAAGAGAGAACTGAAGCTCGGGACTTGATTTTGCAACTGGGAACGACCCGAGCCGAAATGTAAATTGAGAGTCTTTCAAAAAAGATATGAGCGGCTTCTTGCCACACATCAGCGTTGATGAGACGGATGGCAAAGTGATCTTGCAAAAGACAGAGATGTATCAACGGCTCTTTGGACCCTCCCTAATAATGTCTCCATTCAACTGTGATGTGATAGTTGGTTAACCGAGGGCCTGCTCCTTGAGACCTGAGGTCGTCCGCATCTCGGTCACGTGCAAACTCCTTTCCTCCACGTAACTAAGGCCAACGACGGCCTTGTATTTCAAGATAACTACAGGGCGAAGTGGTTTCCGCTGCGCTGCAGGTGATGAATTATGTATTCTCTGAACTGATGCCAAGCTACAAAAGTGCCGTCAAGGAAAGCGGCATATCAGCCTTTCGTAAGCTTGGGATTGTTTGGGAAATCCAATCATGTTTTCAGCCTAACTCTCAATCTTATCCGGGACAGAGTATTGCTGACAGCAGCTCATAGGTTTCGAGAAATAAATTAATCGAGGATTCTTGTGGCCAATACGGAAATATCAAGAAGGAAATGTTCGCTATGCTAGTGCGGGAGAACGATCAACTCTCGGATGATGTAAATTACAAGAGGGGGAGTGCATTCGGATCTGCGAAGCGGACTCATCGCCTTCTTAACGCGTGATCAAAAGGGATGATATACCTGAAGCCTGACTAGGCATTAATCGTTGATAGAGATAGACGATACAATACCCCACAGAAGGCAGAGTCATAGCATTCTTGCAGGTGATCAGAAAACCCGCGATGATACTAAGTGTGGCTGGTAATGCTATGGCATCGGCGCTTAATGGGAGGATGCCCAAGACGAGGCCGTTTCGCGCATCGACTGTTTAGCTCATTTGCAACGGTGGAAGACACCCTGTTTCTGTGGGTGTTGTCTGTGACCCTTTGATATTCAGGTTATTCGGATTCCCCTGTGATTTCAAGCATGTCTGGGAATCCAAGGCACAGGAATGTGCAATATCCCATATACGACAAGCAGCGGATATTACCTGTTAAGCCTGGGATCTGCCGCCCATTAAACATCAACCTTCAAGGAATGGATATGCTCAAGCTCTTGTATTGATGGGACCTTCTAGGGTCAACAAGGATATTTCAAATCCCAACCTTAGCCCTATGAATGATTAACCCACCCCTCACCCTCTGCCGTAAGGAATATCTCGGTTGTGAAGAAATTATTGACAACTAGGTCATTCTGGAGCATGGGAAACTTAAATGTGTTCAGCTTTATTACATTAGGAAGTGCTCTTCAAATTTCCCTATTGATTGCTGATTCTATATCTTCTTAAATCTCGCGACAAGGAGTGATTTCCTCACTAAATTGGTTCAGTTCGTGTTAAGGTACGTATTGGTAGCATCCTGGTTCGATTGTCAAATTAAGATCCAAGAAGGATGTGCTACAGGGAGAGGCCGATAAAGTGATCGAGGTCTTCCTACTTCCGCAGTTCCCTAAATCCCTCGAGTACATAGGTGCCCATATGTGATCCACGTTTGTCGTCGAAGTGGGTTATGTATGCATGTGCATAACTACATCCATAGATGTGGTTGTCCTCAAGCAGCATCCGAAGCTAACTCCGTGACGACTATGAGCCACTGAAAGGCAGGATCCAAACGGGTTTCTGAGTTGGTGGCATTTACTTGATTTTGCCCACCATTATTTCCTTGGGTTTGTTGCCTAGAGCATAATATCCGAAAACTCATCCACGAACCCAAGATATTGAGACGCAATTATTAATGCTGTCGTTGGAATCGGCTAGGCTGGGAAGGCTGTTTAATTTACCAATTTGCCAAAACTACTCTGCACTTATCAAAAATTCCTGATCACAAGAGGCCAAAAGACAACTCAAGAACTCGACGAAAATGATGACCCCAGAGCAATGGGTTCGAAATTACGCTCATGCGTGGGAAACCCGTAACACCTATGAGATAGTCTCGCTCTTCACCCCCGACGCTTCCTACTACTCTTACGTCTTCGACGAACCGCACGTCGGACACAATGCCATCCAGCTCTACTGGGAAACGGCTGCGGGGCAACAGAGAGAGATCAAAGTACGCATGGCAAAGCCAATAGTATCCAGCGACGGAGAGGAGGGCACCAACAGAGCGGCGGTAGAGTGGTGGACCACGATGGTAGATCCGGAGAAGGGCCCAGTTTCGGTGACGGGTGTGATGCTGGTCAAATTCACAGTTGAGGGATTGTGTTGGGAGTTGTGGGAATATTGGGAATTGCAGGACGGGATGAGGGAGCCTCCTGAGGGATGGGGGGGAATAGATTGACAAAGTACGTATACACAACTTGGCGTTTGGAGGGTCATTTTGATTTGTTCGAGCGGACTTCGTGGCTTTCGTCATGGATCTGAAATAATATCGAATTGCGATACGTGTGCCATCGTGCTAAAAGGTATCTTCGCAGCCATCTATCTCCGAGAAACACGCAAGATGAATTCCTGGTGGGCCATATCCTTTCCTCCTTTCTGGAAGAAGGGCTAAGGGAAATCTGAAAAAAAAAAGAAAAAAGAAAAAATGGTATTCCCATGACCTTGGACGTCTCTATAATCGACCAACGCCATTGTTTGTCATTTCCCACGCAAATCGTACTAGATGCAGGATTTGACTGCATTATTGCCGCTGCGGCCTGAGCCTCGAAGCATTTTTTTGTCTGGATAATTTCATAGTCAAGGGCCGTCATAAAAGATAATATTAGATTTGATAGTCGTGAAATCTGTGGTTGATTCACGATTTGCGCCGTTTAATGAACAGCTCCGGCTTCATGTTTATTTTGCAAAGTTTTGCCACGCACCCGCTTAATTGAACAAAAGTCTGGAGTCCTTCCAGAATGCGCATCTGCGTGAATCCGATTTCTCTGATAAATTGCAACTTCGAATGTTCCGATAAGGAAGGAATGGTTTTGGTAACTCGAAACATCGTTGAAATGATATCATGCGAGGAATATCCCAAATCCCTGCCAGTAGAATTAATAGATAGCTTGCGAGAACTTAAGCAGGAGGGCACATTTTCCTGCACCAACCGGGATGCAACTCACCATAATTCGGTCAATGTATTCAGCGCACTATCCACCTTACCCTCGTAACATGCTTTTATCATTGCTTGGACCTTTACCGGATGAGGGCTATCAACCACACGGAAAACATTATCTCCGCTAATGAATCCAAAGCCAGCCCAAGTACTCTGAAGATTGTTGATTGCTTGACGCATGTCGCCCTCAGCGCTAAATACTAATGCTGCAATGCCATCATCTGAGTGCTTCACATCCTCGGCCTTGCAGATCTGGTCCAGTCTTTCAACGATTTGAGTATCCGTTAAACGGGAATAGCGTAGAATAGCGCACCGCGATTGGAGCGGTTCGATAATTTTGTTCGACTGGTTACATGCAAAGGCAAACCGAGTGGTAGTGGAGTAGATCTCCATCGTTCGACGAAGCGCTTGTTGAGCGCCGGACGTCATGCTGTTGGATTTGGGTCAGAGCCAGCGTGCTGATGGGAAACAAGTCAAGTACTCTCACCTATCGGCTTCATCAAGTATAACTAGCTTGTGCTTGCCTGGTGGTAATGTGACCTTCTTCTGGGCAAATCCTTTTATGCGGTTTCTGACTACGTCAATGCCTGACGTCCTGTTAATTGGACTGCCCTGGGCGAGTAAAATACGGGCTGTCGGGGCAGCCAACCTCTTTCATCGCTAGCATTAAGCTCCAACACGGCCTCTTTATAGGCGTCTCCCAGCATTTGTCTCGCTAAACATAAAATGGAAGTCGTCTTTCCGATTCCTGGCATACCAGAAATGATAACGTGAGGCATATTGCCATCGCGGGCAATGATTTTTAACCGTTCGATTGTCTCTGTATTCCCGACAACGTCATCAAGGAATACAGGCCTGTACTTCTCTACCCTGGGTATTCAATGGCTCTGATCAGTGTGCTGATCGGCTCGAAAGTTCTGACGTGCTTACCACGGCAATTCATAATCCGGGGGCGCGCCCGCCATATTGGCGCGCAAAGCATTCTTGACAGCTGCATCGGAAGACTCTGCCTGAACCATTTTGAAATCAGTGCGTGGAAACCGTCATCAGCCACAAGGGCTCAAGGCCATTTCGACCGACGCGCTTTCAATTGGCGTTGGGACGCGTTCCACCACGTGGTTGGCTTGGCACGTGATCCAGCTTAATCGCACCTCTTCCACCAACTTTGGACGGCGTCAACCACACTCTCCTCGCATGTTCTCCTCGCTTTGGCTCTGCCCCCCTTGTTAATCACGAGGGCAAAGTTGTGTCTTCCAGGGAAATCCGACAGAAGAGCTTTTCATCCATCTACTAACCGCTGTTCTTGACGGAGGTATACCGCGTGGGTTCTGATTGAGACGGAACCATCCACCATCGAACCTTGAGAGTTACCAACGAAGTGGAAATTTCGCCGAATTGCCGGGAAGTTGATATGGGGCTCTTGTACTGCCGATTGTTGAAGCTCAGGGTGAGCTTGCACGTGTTGGATTTGATGAGGGTTACAGGCATGCCTGCCCCTCAACATTCATAGCTAGACCCGGAAGGGTAAATACCGACCTCTACTTAATGAGAGGGACCATTATTCGGGAGCAAACAACAAACAGTATATAAACAATTGCTGGGACAGCAATTGTTGAGACTTTCAAAGCAATAGTTCAGCTGTTGATACCCCATCTTTTCTTGCTGCACACCTAGCTATTGCTAGATTCGAGCACTTGAATTTTCTGCCATCATGCCGTCCACTACCTGGACTTCCATTTCGCTCACTCTTCTCTCCTCTCTTTTGTCCCACGGCACACAAGCGGTAGATGTATCATGGCATCCCCCCAAGTCCACTGAAATAAATAACCTTGACAAAGTCCTCAGTTCGTCGGGGACGTATGGGTTCATTTTCAACTCGTCGCATACTCCTGACAAGGATTACGGGCAATACAATTGGTGCAACATGCCTCATGTGCGTCTGCGAGAATACAAAAGGCCCTCGAGAGACTATGAATTGGAATACGTTGAAGTGGTATGCCAAATTTTCTCATTCGGACTTTCTCCAGGCTCGTCAAGGAAGTATGATTCAACATATGGATGTTATTCTAACCATGGCTTTAGATTCATCGCCATCACAAACGAACACCATACCAGTCAAATACATTCCCAGTGGAATCTTATCCCTGGAACTGCGATGATCAGGGCCTCTACTTCTACGGTCAGCCGATCAAAGGTAGACAAAGCGCCAATGCTTACTGGAAGGGATACCAGAATCCGATAAATCCATATGAGGTTTCGGGCTTCAAAGGCACTTGTGCCTTTCCACAGATCAGCAAAGAGGGATTGGACGACTCATGGCAACATGGACGCGATTTGTACCGTGTGTACCATGACCTTCTTCGCCTCATTCCCAGGCGACTCGACTTGGATAGAGTTTCCTTCCGAGTGACGACGAATGTTATTACGAGCCAAGTAGCTGGCATGTTAATTAATGGGATGTATGGAATCTCTGGCAATGTGCCGCTCAATGTTGAGGTAGGCAAAGCTTGGCTCTTACTAACTCACCAACAACTGACTAACCTTCCTTAGTCTTCATCAATTGATAGTCTCGAGCCATCTTACTCCTGCCCCAGAGCTAGCAATCTGTTCTCCGAAGCCAAGAGCCAACCAAACACAACCTGGGCTGCGCATTTATCTCGCACCAAAGAGCTCTTTTCCTCATTGGATTCAGTCTCTGGTGTTTCTCCTTCCGATTCGGGGTGGCATGCAAGTTTCGACCACTATTTCGACAACCTTTCTGCTCGTCTTTGCCATGCCAAGCCCCTTCCTTGCTCTATCGAAGATCCGACCAAATGTATTTCCATGTCACAGGCCGAAACAGTATTTCGTTTAGGGCAATTCGAATACTCATATATATATCGTGATGCACCGTCGTCCCTCGCTGCTAGCGCTGCTAGCCAAGGTGTCTGGATTGCTGAGCTAGCACAGCATTTACGCGACCAAATCGCAGGCCATGATGGAAAGATGCGCTATAGACACAATATCGCGCATGACGGGAGTGTTTCGCGGGTTCTTTCTATTATGCAACTTGATCAGATGGTTTGGCCTGGGATGGGTGCTGAAATAATATTCGAACTATATTCAAGGAAGCCAAAACATGGCTGGGGTAACCGGAAACGACAGCATTTCGTTCGTGTGCTTTTCGGCGGACAGGTCATGCGCAGTTCAAATCCGGATTTGGGCGAGCTGGATATGATTCCTGCTTCTAAACTGATTGACTACTTTGATGGACTAGTTGGGGAAAAAGCGAAATTGGTCCCAGATTTATGCCAGAAATGATCATCAATCACACTCCGGAAACAACAACAAAGTTACAAAATTATCAGATTTCCTAAATCAATTGGGCTCCTGGCACACAGGGAAGCAGCATGTTACTGTATGCCCCACACCACTATTGGGGTATTTCACTCGATTAATGGAAAGAAGATGGACTCGACTTTGGCATAATCATGTGGTATGAATTTAAAGTCTTTGCACAGTCTGACTATTCTTTCTACAGTTATCTAATTATTTGTTTTAATCTGATCTTTTTCTATAGTTTTATTTCATTTTATTTCTCTCAAGGCTGAAGATGGCTTCTCAAAAATACAAGTGTCCATATTGTAGAGATGATATAGTCTCAAAGAACATGGCAAGACACTGCAATCCATTGAATGAGCCTCCTTGTCGAATGTTAAAGAAACACTGGGCTAGGAAAGCCCTGGAAAATACCCTTTCTGTGGAGAAGATGTTTATGATGTCAAAGAACAGTGCCAATATCGGAATTCACGTTGTACCAACCTTCAACAACTATCAAAGGAGTACAACGCCCAAGGCGCGTTGTCCACGCTTATTGAAGATATTCGATCCCTCCAGTTAACCAGCAAATTTCCCCTGTGTGAACCTTGAGTTTCTCTCTCCAGATCGGACATTCTCATCGAATGAACCTACATTTACTTAACCCCTCCGAGTGCCGGGACAAACCGTGCGACCCAAAGGGTATCTTCCATGCCTTGCTAGTTGCCTCTTGGTCGAAGGACTCTAAAGACTTTCAAGTACTCAGAAATGGCAACGTTGTCAAAAACAATTCAAGGGAAAAAGCCAGCTCCGCTGCATTTTATCAAGCACATACCCCCTCTGAGGACCGTGATGTCTATTCCTTGATGAACATTGCTCTTCCGAAAGATCTCTGGAATCTTCGGCCATGTCAAAAGCTCCAGAAAGCTCTTCGTTTAAACTGTCAGGAAGACGAGTAGCTCGAACTGAACGCCAACTTCGAAACTACAGGTACTTTTATTGATCTCCACATAGGTTGGTTTCCTCTTTCTGAGTTCCTTGTCTGCAAATCTAACCTCTTCATTCATTAGATCAGAACCGCCATGGTTTGTCACAGTCAATTGGAGACAATGGAAAAATCTGGCTATTTTATCCACCAACTGAGGAGAACCTCAGAATCTTTACCCAGACCACTGCGTGAAACTAGTCGTGTCACCAAAATCTCCAGTCAGTTTCACGAAGGCCTTGTTGCTCAAGTCGACTCTACAAAGGTCGTTTATATCCCGCCCGGATGGATACATGCCACGTTCACCACCCAACCCGGCACACTTGTTGGCATCAACCTCTCTTCCCTTGAGTGTCTCCCAGTAATGGCTGAAAGCCTGGGAATCCACTCCACGATGATGTTCCGGCTTCCTGGTGACTTCAGTGATGACTTCCTAGAGTATCAGTCTGTCATCGCATCTTTCCTTACTAATGAATTTGAACCTCAGCTCCTGGGTGAAGTCTTAAGCAGCTGGGTTTGTCTTCATCGCACCTTGCAAAGCACCGCCCAGTTTCGACAGATAGGGTTAGGGACTTGATTTCCTCAAGTATATATCAGTCAGGGCGGCCTCTATGGGGATTTCTCCTACTCGGATTCCTGATCCTGGTACGGCCACAGCTTATTGAATAAGTCCCTCTCCTCTTCATCCTTCGCCAACCCAACAAATATCTCCTTGAACTTCATAGAATTAGCCTTTGCAGCCTCATAATCCTCCGGATCCACCATCCCATCAACAGGAAGCACCCCCTTGTCTTGAAATAATTTCAGCATATTTCCGATCCCAGTCATGTTTTCATCCTCCTTTATGTGAAGGTCAAGTTCGGCCCGTGTAAAGTTAATGGGACATTTTGTTGTACTATTGGACTGTGGTAGCGTGTCCCAGAGTGCTACAATGGTGATCAGACTCTGTCGCAGGAAGAATAAATCCCTATTTTCCCAGACGCCAGTGACAAGCCATGTCGGATTTCGTTTAAGCTGAACATCTCTGTGTCGCTGTAGTACTTCCTAGTGATTCGGCGCGTGTTTATAAACCATTGCTTCATAGAATTTATGTATCCTTTCACTTTCTAAAGTTCGGTCCATCTGTATCTGCTCTTCTTCACTCAAACTGTCAAAATTGTCTGGCCGTTCAGGGACAACCCAGCCTTCTCGCACCGGGCCATCATGTCTAAACATACGGGGTATGCAGGACTGGTAAAACAGCGGTGCAATGCTGGCACTCTGCCAGTCAATTATGCTGGTGATTTGACACGTAGTTGGGTCGACAAAGATGTTGTCAAGGTGGAGATCAGGATGCCAGAGAACATTTGCAACAGCCTCAGAGTCGTTGTTGCTGGGAACTAAGTAAGGAGTAACTTTCAAGTATTTTGAGAGAAGGGCAAGAGCCTGGTCTGGGAGCTCGGACTCCTTGAGAGACACATAATAAATGATCCGGGGATTTGCGTGTTTTTAATCCCAAGCTACTTCATTGTTTCCTATGGCTCTGGCGTAATCTTCAGGTCATCGCCCTGCATGTATCATATTAGCCAAGAACCAGATGTGGATTGTTGTTTATACCCACAGGGCCCTCTATCCAAATCAATATCCTCTCGACCACTACTCCAAAGCTCCGCACTCGTGAGAGGCCCGATAACATATCTATCTAGGTCAGCAGATTGCACAGATGGCAATGGCTCAACCAAGAGGGTATCATTTTGCTCTTTCAAAGTAGGCAAATCTTGCTTGAAATAAAGACTGCCATGTTTGGTGAATTTGGTGGTGGTGAGTGCATGTTCAATTTTGCCAACTTGATCAATTACTTGCAGTTTTGATTTTCGCGGCCAGTCGTGCCATAGGCTCTCCAGCCTTGTACCGGGGGCTTTCTCTTCGATGATATACTCAGCGCCAACCGGGTTCGCGGGGTCAGAGGACCACGCAAAAACCTGGGGGACTGGCACATTTAGTACTTCGCGAAGCTAAGGAAATGTGGTTAGATTACTGAGTTTATTCAAAAGGAGACTTGAGATGACTGACAAATTCCAGGGTCGCAACCTCTGAAGCAGTGACATATTGCGCAGGACCAGCATTGGGATTTGGAAGTTTGGCAAACACTTCCTTGCCATTATCCATTGTCAAGAGCAGAGCTTTGTTATGCATTCCTTCCACACAATTCAACACTTTTGTGTCTGGATGAGAGAAATAAGTGAGAAAAAAACTATGGTGCGAAACAGTAAGGAATGGGACTGACAACCGTGTGCTCCATCGCCAGCAGTATCAATAGCAACTTCGATTAATTTCTGAAGATCAAATTTCCGGTAACGACGTGCAAGTTCCTTCTCTTCGTTAAAGCTATCCGTTATGTCAGATGAAAATCGAGATCAGGGTACATATTTGAAACCAGAATGAGAAGCTCTGAGGGTACTACTTACATCCATCGATGCCGGCTGTATCCGAACAAGTCTTCTTCCGTAGCCCGTTTCTCTAAAAAAGCGTGAGAAATGGATGCGCTAAACCGCGCTCGTGGATGTCGTTTGCATGACTTACCAGTACCGTCAGGCTTTTCAATGTATAGTTCTGGGTTTTGAGCTGGGGTATCTCTGCCTCTTTGAAAGGAGAGGAATGAGAAGAAGCTCATCCTTTTTCTGTATCCTTGTAAGATAGAGTCATTTAATCGAGCGGCTTGCTGAAAAGACTTCCAGGACATTGCTATGGTTCAGTGAAGAAGACATTGTTGGAAGTTGTTTTGGTGAAGTTGATTCTGGCTGGCTTAGAGTAAGCGCCCTTCGAGCCCGGGTGTCAGACTAGTGGGTTCGAACTAGTAGGGAGATTGAATGAACTTGAATCAGATATGTACAGAGTATTTGTCTGAAGAAATTCCTATTCTCAGTGAGATCTGTGAGTCTAACTACACTATTTACATCCACTAGTTATCTATACAGAAGAATTGCTGCACATGCTGTCAGATGCCATTTCTTTTTAAATTCAAAAAAACAGGCCCATTGTGGTGTATTCAATGGCTAAACATGATTTGTTACATTGCAGAAGGCAACTTATGCAGGTTGCCTCTGAACAAATAACTATGTCTATTGGAGTTGGGGAGTTGGGATGGCTTCATGGTGCGTGGTTACATAGTTAATCTGTACAAGTAGTTACAGAGTACATGAGGCCTCAATTCAGAATCTCTCTTCTCTCTTCTGACTCTCTCTCTCTCTCTCCCTCTCTCTCCCTCTCTCTCCCTCTCTCTCCCTCTCTCTCCCTCTCTCTATTCAGATTCTTCAAGGAATATACCTCTTTTTTATCTCTCTGATATAATACTGCCTTTTACAAGCTATATCAGCAACTCTTCTTACACTTGGGACGAAATGAGTCAGGCTACTCCGGTGCGGATAATCCTTCCATTTCGCGAACAACCTTTTCAAAAACCTACAGCAATCATCAACGCTTTCTTTACATGGCGAGGTATTCAACCTCTAGAAGACTACTATACACATATATGTAGTGATCCTCGTTCTTCTCGGTTATATCTGGTTCTCGATCTCCACTGCAAAACACATCCAATTGTCGATCTTAACAAGTTAGACCTCGAAGTCTTTAAAGTCTCAGGAACTGATTCATTGTGCGTTACCTCTTCTATGACCTAACTAAGCTAACTATATTTAGTACATTTAAAAATCTCGGAGAGGTAGCTCGCAAGCAGGTTTACCAGCGATCTGCTTCTCTGGATTGGGGGGGAAGGCAACCAGTTTAGTCAGAGGAATTAGTCGGTGTTGTTCCAGCACGGGGAGGACAGGATCCCGTTATATTCGTGTCTTGCGCATCGAGAACCAATGGGAGATCTCTCAGAAACCCGGAGGGAGGTCGGCATGGGTCATTTGCATCGCTTCTTACGAGTGTACAGAAGATAAGGTGATCTCGATTTATGTGTTTGGGAATACGCGTACAAGCTGCGTATGTCTTGCAAGCACATTCACACATTGCATGAGAGTGAAGGAAGTCGGTTAAAATTGAATATCGCAGGGAGGACCTTCACACAAGCCGGATCGTGATGCGAGGGATGTAGGCTTGAAAGGAAAGGCGGCTCGAAGAGGGGAAAATCCGTATTGATTGAATAAATGGTCTGTTCTACAGCTCTAAAAACCTTTTTAAAAGATAACTTACTTCGTTCTAGGTTATAGTTGCGGGCCAAAGCGGCAGCGCAATAGACGGACTAATCAAGAGGTTCAGCACAAAGGCTTCTGCGGGTCTGTTTAATTGAATTTGTGACGGTATGATACTGCTTCTTCAATGAGTGGCAATGGAAGTGGATATTGCATGTCCACTAAGACTTGCAAAGATTAGAATCTTGTTTTTCGGATAGTTATATAGATTTCCTGTCAAACAAAGAGCATGACAATACTTGATAAGCAGGCGAGTGTCTATTCTTGCCTGTTCATAGTATCTACTATCTCCTTCCATACTCTGTAGGGTTCAGAGATTTGAGAGTCACAAGTCACATGAGAAAATTTCTAGCAGGGGGCATGCAGCCGCCAGACAACTACTCCGTATACCAAGATGACCACTAGTTACACTGTCTTGACACGGAGTTGCGGGCTTTCAGCTTGCGAGCGAATAAAAAAAAGAGAAGAAACGACCACGGTGCGATTCGAACGCACAAATCTTTGGTGCCGAAAACCAACGCCTTAACCATTAGGCCACGCGGCCTGTCGAGTGTTACTAATAATACCCATTATTTTCAAGATGTCCGCCATACTGATGCATTCACCTGCGTCTATCACTATGAACCGCCTAATGACTGCTCGAGATGAATCTGGAATCAAAATTTCTCATCCAATTGTCTCAATAGCTCAGCCTTTAACAATTGTTGTGAGTAGGCTGACTGAAATCTCAAACACATAACTAGCCAATGATCTGTTATTTAACAGGGCCCGTCCTGTACACTCTTGAGCAATCTCATTTCTGCATGTCTAACTCTTGCAGAATCGAATTCTGAATATCTAAAGTACTCTGTAGACCTTCTATTCTTTCTATTTCACCCTAATAGAATTTTCAATTATCCTATAACCTCACTGCAACGCTTACAACCCCATCTTCGACCCAGCCTCGAAGAAGCCCGTCATGGCATCGCGCTCCCACTTCACCCGCATCCCCTCGGTCAGCAGCAACGCCTCAACTACCATTGCCGACAGCAACCACGCAATCCCTTCCCGCTCACTTCCGCCCGCTGCACCGTCCACGATCCGACGCAACTTGTTCCACGCCCACCTCAGCCGTCGGCAGCACACCACATCCACGACCTCTAGCTCTGGCACATCGCGCAGCCGCACGCACACCCATACACTTTCCGGCAGCGGCGATGGAAGCGGGCTAAGCAGCGCTCTGGGTGGGGGGATATCCAAATCCCGACTCATGACCGGCGTGCTCTCGCGGGGCGGCTCGATAGCGGATGAGGGTGATATCGTTGCCCGTGATAAGAACGGTAGCTATAGAGTTGACATACCTACTCTGCGGCTGGGAGCTTTTGGTGAAGGTGCTGCGGATGGCGACGAGGTGATGGAGGTTGTTGAAGGCTGTGGACATGCGGGGATTGAGCATGAGGACGGGATGAGTAGCATGGACAAAAGTAGTGTGTTTCTCCTGTTTGCGGGGGAACTAGCTTTCCTGTGTTTCGTGCTTACGGTTTGCTTTTACAGAAATCGATGCGAGCATCGCGGAAATGATGCGGCGCAATCGGAGCAGACAACTGAATAGTGAGCCATCAGGTAAGGGTTTTCCTTTCAAAGGTTTCAACATTCAGTCTATTAGGACGGTTGGACTTTCTCCCTCATCGTATAATATATCATTGGTTGGCAAGGAGAAATCCACTGACAACCATTGCGCAGAGGTGTATCTGCTCATCCAGCAAAGTTTGAGAAACAGAGTTGCCTTGCTCGACGAAGACAAATGGATGTTTGAGGTAGAACACGAGACTCGCACCTAAGTACCAATGCCTTCAATCCTAGTTTCATTTTCTGTCTGGTTCATGTCGAATCGACACGGTATTCTCAAGGATACGCCGAAACCTAATCCAAATCCATCGACGCGGGCGGAGCGACTTGTTTTGGTTGTTTGGGTCGTTGTGGTGTCGGTGACCTATTGCCGCCTTGAGACCCCCCGCCAAAGAACATTCCCATCATATCCATAAGGGGGTTCGATTGCTTAGGTATCCTTATCCCAAAGTAGACCTCTCCGATGTGAGCCAGTGCTTGGTCCCAATCCCCCGCTTCTTTAATATAAGTCGCATATTGTCTTAACAGCTGTTTGAACAAATCTGGATGCCCGCGTTGGATAGCTAGCAGCAACAGGTTCGTGAAATTAAGGAGCGGCAACGAGGGATATACGCGCACATCGTTATTTTGGCTGCTTACTTCCTGAACACCGAGTGCCTGGCTTGTGGGCGAAGACGATAACTGGTTTCTGAATATCAGGAACGCCTTATTGGCATTTCGGGGGCTTCCGGTCAGCAAATAGGGGAATACCGCGCGAGCAGCATATATCCCTGCTGTGTGCACGGCATCGTGGGTGTACCACCTGTATTCTAGGCGCGCCAGCACCTCCGCCGATTCAACGGTTCCTAAAGCCAAGTGCCTTTCTGCGTCGTATACCTCATTTTCTATAAACGCGATTAGTGCCACCCGCTGGAGAACATTATAAAGGATAAAGAACAAAACATGAGTCTCTTATACCTTCGGCGTAGATAGACCCAATGGCATGATGGATCTCTGGGTCACCAGTTTCAATGTCTCCGTATTTTGAACTCCACGATATCATCTCGCTTACGTATCGTTTTCTCGTAGGCTCTTCTGCTGGAAACTCGCGTAGGATTTCGATTAACCGCTCTAATGCCCAAAAGGTCAGTCCAGATACTCCCCTGCAAACCGGGGAAGTGCCGCGGGAGCGGCTACATACGTCTTCTCCTTTTCCCAACTTCATCATCCGACAGTTCCCACTCTGCCTTGTTATACACATCAATTACGAGCATAATCGCAAGATCACCGCCACTGGCGGAGGCTCCTTGCTGAGCTCCAGCTTTCAGTAAAGCTATCGCACCACCAGCCAAAATGTCTGCAGCCGCATCGTAGTTTGATTGTTTGAGGTAACGTGCGGCGATGACACGGAGTTGTTGATGGGATTCATAATATGCTCCGGCGGCGATTCTACACAAGCTATGTTAGAACATTCATCGGCATTCTAGCTGGATAAGCTGTAGAAGGGAAGGGGAAGGGCAACTATGGATAAAATGTGTTGGAGACATGGGAGGATTACTTTTCTCTCTGCCGCGCAATTGTCTTATCGATCCGGGAGGTCATTGTTAGGCGGGGCAAACTCGAAGCCGACTGACTGGAGGAACAATAGCAAGGCAGAATCCGAGAATCTATTTGGGAGCTTTGCTGATTGACGATCTTAGTGGGCTTGAATTGACAGAGTAAATGGACATGCGCAGAGACAAGATGGTAATCTCCGCCTGTTGAGTGAGATTTGGTTGGAGCTGTGGCCTAGACATGTGATTCCTTCTGGCATCAGTTTGGCTCAGCGCAAGAGATCCTCGTTGGCTAAACAACATCAATGAAGATACACGATGATAACTAACTCATTAACTCATTGAATTAAAATGAATTCTCATACCTTCGACATCCAGCCCTTACACCGGTTCGCAGGCTCAAATGCCGCAATTCGACGACCAAAGGTATGTTGACCAGCCCACCTAACAATGTCACATTTTCAACGCCCTTCCTGTAATAAGACTGTGTGCTAACTATCCCCAAGGAAATCGCATACTTCTCTTATGACGATGAGCACAAGTTTCGCCTTGACGAATCCTCCCTCCGCTACTATTATCCACCCAAGTTGCCCGCAGACCTAAACCGCGGATTCGAAACGTTTGAGAAGCTAGACGATTCCAAGGATGAACATCTAGATGCGCTACTAGACAGGATTATTGCATTAGAACAGAATACCGGCGCCAAGTGCGAGGCCGATGTGATAACGTGGAGGGGCATGATGACCAAGGTCAGTTTGGTAGTGGACACGGAGAGATATACTTAACGGTTTTACTAACGCTGATAGGGAAGCTGATGACAGCTGCATTTGACAGTATGAATGGGTAACGACGAACGATTTCTTGTGAGTTTGAATGCCCAGGTGCTGAATAGCATAAACTCTAGGTTTGAAATGAACGCAACCTATTATCAAGTGGGCAACTGATATCCTGCATGCCTCGAAGATCAGGTCTGGAAGCTAACAATCTGATCTTCTTCAAGGGATCAATGTAAGTCCTTTCTATTTCATTGATTGTGGGCTAGTCATCGCAATACTCGTAGCATCCGCTCACATTAATCTCAGCTTTATTGAAGAGAACAATACGTATAAAAATGCCCAAAAACAAAAGCAATTGCAACAAATGTCACCAGCTGGGGCACCTTCCCAGACCCGCATGATGTATTGGGGTAAGTTATCCTACTTCATGTCAAAAACTTTGAACATACGCGACCTTTCTAATCTATACCAGGTTATAAATTTGAGACACTGTCCCTTCTTGATCAACCTTGGGCTGCCACTCCCCGTGAGACTATCGAATCACGCGAAGCGAAGGTAGTAAACAATAGTTCGCAGTACTGCTCGGTCGTACGTACCGGTATAGGAGGCACGAAATTGGTCATCGGTGGCGAAGTTGATGCAGGTGAGTCCGTTACCAGGTCCTCCTATGAAACTACAGTTTCTAAACCCATGGTAGTATGGGATTGCAAACCGGAGCAGAAGGAGGACCCTATCAATTGGGTCGAGCTGAAGACGACCGCCGAAATTCGTAACGATAAGGACATGTGGAAGTACGAACGGAAACTGCTCAAATTCTGGGCCCAATCATTTCTTCTTGGGGTTCCTAAAATAGTTGTTGGTTTTCGGAATGGAGATGGGATTTTACAACGAATTGAAGAGCTTTCAACCCACGAAATTCCTGGATTCGTGAAGAGGAATGGAAAAGGCACCTGGGACGGAAATATATGTATAAATTTCACCTCTGAGCTACTTCACTGTAAGCTTCCCCTGGCCCCTTTAAGCCACAGTCTCAGGTCTAACAGGAGAAGGGCTTCGGAATGTGATCACCACAGAAGGTATGTGGAGAATAAGGCGACTGGAAAAATCTCCTGCAATTGAAGTGTTCAAGCTGGAGGAATCCGGACATGGCGGAATCCTCTCTGACGGCTTCATTGAGTGGCGTTCGCGAACTTAAAAGCTGCCTGTATCACTATTTCCCAATCCATCTATTTGTTAATTACCACACTTGGTTTTGGACACTGTACCTGGTTGATTTGTTAGAGCGTTATCGTCCAATGTGCTCCCCGAAAGCTCTTGAGGTTACTTACAGCGTTTGGCCTGTAAGGCTCAAGGCCCGTCACTCATCTCATGAAACCTCCGTATGGATTGTCAATTCATGCTCTGTAATCCTGATCTCGACCTGGCCGCTGGGGTTCAGTCGATTTGGCATCTCTGCTCTCGCGTTCTGTGCGCCCAAACCCTCACTTTCCATTGCGCGAAGGTTAGGTATTAAAGATTTTCCGGCTCACCCTTCTGCGCATTCACGCTGCCGCGCCAAATACCTTTCCCGCTGTGCTCTCTTTTCAGCACCCTTCACTGCATTCTTATGCCTTTTTCCTTTTATATGGATATGCCACTGTTCCTCAGTCATACCTGGTAAATTACAGACATCGCAGGATTTGCGGATCTCTAGATCCTCGCTCGGCGATTGGTTCCTCTGTTGCTTGAGTTTAAACAGCTCCTTCGCAATCTTCGATACCTCGCTCGGGTGCGGTCGAGGCTTGCCAGAAAGGAAAGCCTCTGTGACTCTTTCTCCAGGTAACCGGACTGCATTGTCCCAATCACCCACATCAGTGGAATCAAGGACATAGAGATGATCGGAAGCGCCAACCAAGTCAAGCAAATTCCATAGTTTCCCTCGGATCCATTTCAGTTGACTATTCGAATATTGCTTAGTGGCAGTCTTTACTGATTCAACGCATTCCATTTTCAGCTTCTGGAGATTCTCAGGTGAGGTTTGGCCAGAAGAAAGAGCGGTGATATAGGGATCCAATTCTTTAAATCCAATAGAAACCCAAACGCCTCTTGTCCTGTCAACGTGGATGTTTTTTGCCTCTTTCTCTTGAAGGTAATTGAACATTTGTTGCGCCTCGCTCAGAAGACCTTGGTCGATCATACCATTCACGCGGTTATCTAACCTTTGACGAAGAACGCTTTTGTCACTATAAACCCAGAAAAGAAGAGTTGGGAATCTCAAATGACTAGGCTCGACAATATCACCGGTCCCAGCTTGTCCAGTATTCGCTTCTAAAGTCTTCCTGAGTTGCATCTTTTGTTCCTTATATATCTCCGATACCGGTCTTCCCGTTTGCAGACAGATTTGTAGAGAACGCCTGATCTTTCTGGACTCGTTAGGATGCCAACGTTCCGCCATCACAGGGTCAAGCTCGCGTAATTTCTCGAGCATTTCTTTCTCCTGATGCGCCCAGGATTGGCCATTTTTTGATTTTCCGCAGCCTCGTCGTATTCTTGTTCGGAATTTTCGTTTTCGCCATTACTTTTATTAACAAGTTGGTCGCGAAACAACACAGCATGCGTATAATAGTGTGTGCCGCCAACTAGAATCGGTAACTTTCCTCTAGATCTTATTTCTTCAATCAATTGAAGACAACGCCTTTTGAACCTGCCGACATGCCAGGGCTCCTGGTCGATATCTATACATGCAATCAAGTGATGTGGAACGCCCTCTCGCTCTTCCATTGGTATTTGGTTAGTCGTGATGGGTAAGCCCTTATACATTTGCATAGCATCTCCGTTGATAATCTCTCCATTGAAGCGGACTGCTAAGTCGACTGCCAACTACATCACTTGTTCAGCCTCCAGAACGGGTGCAGTTTCAGAAAAGGGAAACCCACCTTGGATTTACCGGTTCCCGTGGCCCCGAGGACTGTAATGAGGGGCTTCATGGGGGCTCTCAAGGAAGTCGAATAGAGCCTACGGGAAACACGCTGCAAGAGCATCAGGGGTTAACTTGATGTCCGTCCGTCGAGAGAAGGCGTGGGTTGAAATTTATAGCGTGTCGTCATTCCTATCAAAACCGGCTTACATAAGAAATATCCCCGCAAACAGGAGGTTTCATGATTCAAAGAAGGGAGATATAAAATTGAATATAAAATTGTGATATTACTGCTTTTCCATTTGGTAAACCATCTGACTAGAATTCTAAGAAGCAACCGTTCTCATCACCATGGCGTCAACCGTCCCAGACTCGTCCATACACATTCACAACCTCAACTACAAATTTCCTGATGGCACACTTGGTCTTACGGATATCAACGTGGGACCTGCCGATGGGGAGTCGCACCTTATTGATAGGAGGTCAGAATAATTCTCTCTCTTAAGCAATCGCTGCTGATTACTCCCAAAAACAGCCAATGGGGCCGGGAAAAGCACTCTCCTCCGTCTCCTCTCGGGTAAACGCCTCGCCCCATCTGGATCCGTAATTATCGGTGGCGTCGACCCGTTCAAAGATGGCCTCGAAGGAGTCACATATCTTGGCGTAGAATGGGTTTTGAACCCAATCGTCCGCACAGATATCGATGTTCCCACCCTCCTCGCATCAGTCGGAGGCGACTACTACCCCGATCGCCGGGACGAATTGGTAGAGATTCTCGACATAGACTTGTCGTGGCACATGCATGCGGTGTCAGACGGTGAACGGCGACGTGTTCAGCTAGCCATGGGCCTCTTAAGACCATGGAATCTGCTGCTACTAGATGAAATCACAGTTGACTTGGACCTTCTGAGCCGCGCCAACTTTCTAGGATTTTTGAAGAGAGAGACAGAAAGCCGACCGTGCACAATTGTGTATGCCACCCATATTTTGGATAACCTTGCCCACTGGCCTACGCATCTTGTGCATATGCATATGGGCCAAGTGAGAGACTGGGGCTCCCTAGAGAAGTTCTATGCTGGAAAACCAAGGGTGTCGGAGAATAGCCAACTTGGTGAATTGGTTCTGGAATGGTTAAAGCGAGATCTAAAGCACCGGGGACCGCGACCTGGAAGGCCAAGTGAGAGTAAACCCGAGCCTGGGTATAACATGGAAATATAGGGAGTGCCGGTCACCATCCCACATTTCAACCAGATTGCTCAGCCCTTAACGGTGAGACTGATTGTTTCTTATGGTAAATATTATCAAAATTTCCAGGGAGATGTACATATACAGTGAATGAGCTTTTGGCTTCAACGCCTAGAGGTTACTGACCTCCAAGCAAGCTAGATTCTTTTCAATTTAAGTGAGATACGACAGTGTCAGCTAACTAGGGACACCATCAATGTTATAAATTCGGACAGAGGAGTCATCACTTGCGACGGCCAGTTGATACTTGGCTATTACATCGCCTCTACTAAAGGTAGAGCTTGGCCGCCATAAAACCTGCGTAATGCTCTTGGATGGGCTTTCAAACTTGGGTATAGCCACACTGTTGCCAGGCATTAAATTTTCCATTGCAATAACATGCACGCTAATTGCCCCAGAGTCATCTCCAACTGCCAAACAGAATTTATCATCCACAACCGTAGGCAGGAAGTCAATGGCTGTGACAGGATGACCGATGGCAATATTCGATTTGCACACAAACGTCCCACCTTCTTGAGACCATAATTTGACCGACTTATCTCGGCCAGCGGTCGCAAACACCTTTGTTGTAGGATGCGGTGCCCAGCTTGCGCTAAGGATCATTCGTGAATGAGCTTTGAGATTCGATGTTAATAGCTGATATAAAGATTTATTCGCCGCGTCTCGCTCGAAAACTGCCCACTGACGATCGCGACCTACACTCAGCAGATATTGATCGTCAGGTGAAAATTTAAGAGCGGTTATCGTCAATGTATGCGCGGCCAACGGAGGGCGTATCTCGCGCCAGCTCTGGGTATCGTATAGGCGGATAACCGCGTGATCTATCGAGCTAGCTTTGCAAGCGGTTGCGATAACGGACCGGTTGTTGCTTGCTGCAACCGCTGAGATTTCGTAACCATGGCCATATAACTTTTCATGTTCTGGCCAGAGGGTGTATTTGGCCAGATGATCCTCCAAGGGAGGATGATCTAAATCTAGAGGTATGGCCTGCGATGGCACTCCCCCTTGCATTCCATTCGTTTCGTTCTCGTCACCTTCTTCGACATCTGCATCATCCATAGCTTTATTAGAAAGCCCCAAAACTGGAATGTTAGCAGCTTCCGCCATTTCTTCTTGTGAGGATTGCGCAAAGCCAGACAGCCGTTCCAGCAACTGTGCGATTGATTTTGTCTCATTAAACACTCTCAAAAGCTTTTCGTCAGCGCCAGATACGAACCTTGTTGGGCCCAAAGATGTAATGCAGTTCAAATCATAACCGTGAATTTGTGGTCTTGAAAACTCATGCCACGAATCGTGGCCATCGCGACTCCATTTCGCGTGTAGCCTCGTCGTCTGGTCCGCGCTCGTAGACAAAAGATATCCACCGCTAGGTTCCCAAACAATATCATTAACAGACCTCACATGTCCAGTGATGCCCATTATCTGAACCCATGCATCTGCATCGCTCTCATATCTCCAAGATCTCCAGCTGCCGGTCCGGCCCAAACTTATGACCACATCCCCGTCCGGCGCCCAAAGTCCAACCCAAAACCCTCCGGCACTGCCTGTAGCAGTTGTTGATCCCTTTTGAACACTGATTTCTCCCATTCTAGAGCCTGAATACCAAGCTCCAGAAACCGGATCAGATTCCCATATCACCAACGAATTATCAGCTGATGAAGACATCAACTGGAGTTTCTCGGGGTTCGGATTCCACGCAATAGAATATATCCAGTCTTCATGTCCAAACAGCAAAGCTTCAAACGTGATCGAATAGACTGCTCCATCAGACTCAAAAGTATGTGCCTTATTTGACAAAGCTTGCATGCCTCCCAGTATCGCATCTTCTGCATTTTGTGGTGCTGCACTAATCGCAGACTTCCCAGGATGGACTCTCCACAAGCGTATGTACTTATCCTGGCTGGCGGAAGCAAGGAGAAAATCTTGCGTTCCTGGAAATTCAACAGCCGTAAACGCGAGAGATCTTATCCAGCCTTCATGGCCCGTCAAAGTGGCCTTTAGCTCAAAGTGTACCTCTTTCGATGAGTCTTGCGCAACATAGACCTGAACGATGCTCCTTGTTCCGCCAAGAGCCAGCACAAGGGCCTCCACCGGTATCACTAGGGTTAAGCTTCCTTAACGCCAATGTAAGAGGGAATGAACGAGGTTTGGCCGTGATTGTTTTCCAGCAAGCTAGCATGTATCCCTTTTCCATCTTCCTCAGTAATCCTCCAGGCCTTCACAGACCCATCCGCCGCCCTTGAAACGAAGACATCCGATTTCTCTGCGACCGCAATACAATTGATTGAATTGTCATGCCCTTGTAACGTCGTTGCAAGCGTAAAGCTCAGCGGAGTCGAACCATTAGGCGCCCATATTCTTATTGTCCGATCAACTGAGCCTGTTATAAGCAGATGACGACTCGGGTTCCCGCTCGGTGGTGTGTAAAACTTAACCGCGTTGACCGTATCCGTGTGGCCAACTAAAAGCGCATATACTCCCCGTCGATTCGGGTCCTGCATTCTAAATTAGCAACCTAGGCAGGATACAATTCGAAGATATCCATACAGCAGGATCCCAAAGCGCAACATTGTTGTCTGCCCCGTATGCAACGATCCCAGAGTGTCTGTGCCAATCTGCTGTAGCTGGGTGCCTGTTCCCCCCCACGCTAATATATTCAGTTGTAATAGATTGCATGGGTGACTGCAGCTAGAGCTGCTGTCTGAGAAAAGAAAAAATTGAAATAAACACTTTTATAATAGTTCTTCAGCCTCAAGTATGAAGCTGGGTATCCGAGAACGTCTGAAGGTTTTGTGATAACTAGGGCCAAGCTTTTGAGCTTATCGATAAGATATTTTCCACCCCGCCCGCTTCCTCAAGGAGTCAACTTCGCTCTCCATCAGGCACTGTTCTACAATTACAGTATATTTTATATTATATCCTAGCATGGGTTCCCATGCGACAGGTAAAGACGGCGCACAAGCCGCGCTAAACGTCACTGTGGAATTTACGTTCGTCTCTCATGCCCAATCTCATCAGCCCCACCGTTTCGATGGACAGGATGCTAACACAACACCCAGCGGAGGTTTAGAAATGCTCTTCTCCAACCAGCGTAAACACAAAAATCTCCCTGCCTTCTATCGATGCAAATGGCGCCCCTTCCACTATTGCCTACCTCATCCAATACCTCTGTCAAAACGTCATGAAAGATGAACGGAGGGAGCTGTTCATGCTGGATGACTCTGTGTAGGATATCCATTTTTTCTAAGACTTCATTTCTGAATAGAGCTAACATATATTGGTTTATAGAAGACCGGGGATACTTGTACTTATCAATGATGCCGACTGGGAACTCGAAGGAGAAGAGCAGTATCGGATACAGTCAGGCGATAATATTCTATTCGTATCTACGCTCCACGGAGGATAGATAGGGAAAATCACCAGGGTTGGGTGCGCTCATGCAGACAGACGCTATAACATAATTTTCGGCTATATAAACCGACAGAGAAGATGCTTACACGACATCCTCAACGTGGAGCTGTGAGATCCTTTCCGGATCACGAGGCGTTCTGAAGCCGCTTTGTGGAGTTCCACCTCTAGTCAGTGCACTACTAGAACCATCGGGCATTGGAGAAACAGCACCGCTAGGTGGTACAGGTATCTTGATGTCTTCAGGCGAGCCAGGAATTATTTCCGGCGGGAGGTCGGGGACATGTATTCTTTTAGCTTCGTTGCTGTAGCTTCCCGGAATAATCTGTACATTTTGAACACGGATTAGTTCTCGGTTGTCGCAGAAGAAATCGATGTTTCTAAATATTACCTCAATAATTTCGTCCCGAGGGAACGATAGGAAGGGTATATCAGCCGCATTACAGGCCATCAGGTAACCATATAATACTCGAAGAACGCTCTCATGCGCAATGATAAGAAGATCATTTCTCTCACGCTCCAGCTCGAGAATGATAGGCTCAAGGCGAACAGCCAGGTCGTGATATGACTACGACATTAGCAAACGGACCCTTTCCAAAGCAAGCAAGAGTTAACCCTCACCTCAGCTCTCGGGTACCGATGGTGATAGGGGTCCAGATCGTGTTGCGCTACCTCGTCAGGGAACTCCTCTCGAATCCGTCTTTCTGACATTTTCTCACATACTCCGGGGTTTAGTTGACTCAGTTGTGACCTGTGTCGGGTTTTGAATCCCTTCTTGTGTAAGAACTGCGCGGTCTCCGTTGTTCTGCGCCGAGTTGACGTCCACACGATGAGTGGTCGTGTTATTGCATCTAAATCACCTTGCTCCTTCGCCGCCTGCCTTTCTTCTTCACGGTACTCCAGTAGTCGTTGCGTCATTTTTCGAGCATAGTCCTCCCCTTGCGGAGAAAGGGACGCGTCCGCCTTGTACGAATCCGCTTCAAGGGACGTCCCAGCCTATGGAGATTAATTCAGTCCAAAGAACATCTACACCTAACAGGCGATGGCGACCTACCCGTGCAAAGTAGGTACGTCTATTTTGGATATGCAAATTCAGAAGGTAAAACACGATGCGGTGATGGAGGTACCCGAAACTGCAATTGTTGATCATCATTTTGTCCCCTGCGTTGATCATCTGGTATTTTCAGCTATAAGTCCAAAAAAGAGTTCAATATCAAAGTTACAAACCTTGATATAATTCAAGTCCTTTTCTTCCATAGTTTGAAATTGTGGGATGCGGGCCGATATTCTTGCTAGGTAATCTTTAACAGCGTCTTTAGGATCCCATCCTTTGTACTAATCGTTCAACGCGTAAGCTTTCAAGTTTGCAGGGTAAAAGCCCATGGAAGACTTACATCAGGCGAAGAAATTTTAACCCGTTGCACATTTTCTTCGATTATCTTCTCGTCGTCACACCATGATTCAATGAAAAGGGTCTACGACAACAGTTAGACAGTCGTAAGTCTTAAGGATGTCGGGCTACATACCTCAATTCCGTACTTGCCAAACTCCTTAGCCAGCGATCTTCGACCCGCCGCAATCGGATTCACAGCATCATATATCGCAACTTGACCATTGTCATCACTTAGAAAATGATATATATCGTCTCTGCATTTCTTCACAATTTTTTGTCTCATGAGGACAGATGAGGCGGAGGCTAGGATGCAAATAAGTATATGATCTAAATCACGTAATTATACGCTTGGGCAAAATATCGATTGAGCCGGACAAATGGCCAATGAGAATCACATTAAAGGAGACACTTGCCTTTGACGAAGAAATAGTCCTCCGGCAAGTCTTGTCCAGGGCCAACGGTCGCACGTCGATAATCCCCAAGATGGAATATGCGAGTTTTAACGCCGAGCCTATGAGTGCAACAAAGCAAACAATTCGATCAGCTCAGGTTGAAGCTAATATTGAAATGCAATTTCCAGGCAAGTACTACATACCAGCGCAGATATCTTGCTATAGCCACCGAAATGTGACTAGAAAGGTACGTTAGTTCCAATAACCTGAGCAAATGGATTGGCATACTGACGTCTTGCCTCGCGCTGGCAAGCCAACCGTAATGATCACAATTCGGCCAGAATGGAATAGGCGGCCTGATTCAGTACTGTAGAGTTGTGCTGGTGCAATTTCCGGTTTGTCTCTAAGATCGTGAATAGCATCCACGAACGTACTAGACTTTCGCCGAAACCGAGGCGAGTTGGCGACAACATCTGCATTCCTAGGAGGAGTTAGACGAGGTACGAATCAATCATATCTTTATACCTATTGCCACAGGATCATGACAGGTTGCAGTCGTACGAGTGCAATAAAACTTACAGATAAGTATCCATGGTCGGAATTACGCCGCTAAGCCCCTGATATAGAACAAAACAGCGCTCCTTTTCAACCGGGAAATGATGTAATCATATGAGAGGGTACAAGAACAAAGAGTAAACGAAAGCATGTATCATAAGCTCAGAGCACTGTACGCTTTAAAGCAGGCAATACATGCGTTACGAGTAATCGCCAGAGCTCGCGGTTACTCCCGCCGGCAGTCGCTTATCAAAGCACTGATAAGAAAATAATTGCTCTCAAAGCTTTCAATGCGCCAGGCATTCACAAGCGTGGCCACAGGTCACGGATCACACACTCCACAGGCAATAAAGGGTCAATTGCTCGACCTCTAATAATGGGAGAGAAGTCAAGACGAGACATCCGCATGTTCTCAAAGCTGGGAGCCGAGGGGCACGGGAGCAGCAGGAGGGCATTTCCTAAACTGGTTAGTAGGTTCGTCATGTGCTTGGCCGCATGCTGACTCAGCAGCTCGCAGAAAATCCAAAGCTGGCCTGCTTTTTCTGATGCAAAAGCTTCGACTTAACAGCTTGTCAGTTGAACGGATTCGAGCACTATTTCGAGTGAAACCACCACCGGACTCAAAAAGGAGGGATTCGACTTGGTGGTGCTGGCCAATTGACTTTCGCACTGGGACACGCTCAGTCCGCTCCTCTCGCCTTGATTCCCGTGTTTCGTTTCTCGATCCTCTCCTCCGAGCGATATGGCCGACTTCAGCTCGTCCCTCGGTTTTATTACCGATAATGCGGTCTCATCAATGCTTAAAGATGCATATGATGCCTTTTCGGAACGAAGAGAAGCCCTTGGGTTGACGAACCCCGGGACAGTCGAAAACGTCTCCCGTGAAGTGCAGAAAGATGTCCTGCTTTCTAATTTCATGTTCACCGGTCTCCGGGCAGATTTGACGAAAGTCTTCGGTGTTTCTCCTCTGTTCCGAGTCTCGCACGCTTTTACAATGGGCTCCCAAGGGAATTTACCCCCATACGCCTTTTCTTCAATGTTCGGCACTCCCAACGTAAGTCATCCAATGCCATTTTGCCAGTATATACCATTGAGGGCGAATGGGCCTGATGCAGTTTGTAGGTGCTTATGCAAGGCAACATTGGTAGCGATGGAGCTCTTAACGCCGTGTGCAACTATCGTTGGAATTCCGCGCTGGTCACAAAAGCCAACGCTCAGATTATGCCTGGTGCGGCTCAAGGCATTATTCAAATAGATAATGATTATACCGGCTCAGATTTCTCCGTTTCAATCAAATCATTCAACCCGTCATTTCTCGAGGGCGGCCTTACCGGAATATACATTGGAAGCTATCTGCAATCTATCACCCCAGGATTAGCTCTTGGGTTGGAAGCCATGTGGCAGCGCGCCGGATTGAATGCTCGTCCCGAGACGGCCATCTCATATTGTGCAAGGTACAAGGGGCAAGACTGGATTGCAAGCGCTCAATTGCAAGCTCAGGGTGCAATCAATGCGTCCTACTGGAGGAAACTTTCCGACAAGGTCGAGGCTGGTGTCGACATGAACCTACAGTTTTCACCAAGCGGAAACCCAATGATGGGAGGCGGTCTCCAAAAAGAAGGAACAGCGACTGTTGGAGCCAAATATGAATTTAGGGCATCGACTTTTAGGGCACAGATTGACAGTTCTGGAAAACTAGGCTGTCTCTTGGAGAAGCGAGTCGCGATGCCCATCTCTTTGACATTTGCGGGAGAGATCGACCAAGTTAAAGTAAGCAGCCTCACAAGAAGATGTTACTGTTTGATGACTAACTCGTTTGCGAACAGCAACAAGCAAAAATTGGACTTGCCGTGTCATTCGAGACGGCATCAGAGGAATTAATGGAGATGCAAGAAAGCGGCGAAATGTCCAACGTTGCATCCCCCCCATTTTAATGGAAACGATGTTTCCATGACGGCGTTCCCGTACACGTTCTATCCGGTAAACACATGTGCCCTCGTGGTCTCCTTTCATCCGACTCTTTATTATAGGCAATTTGCTACCAAACCATGGGTACTCTGGAAGATTCGAAGGGCGATCTGTTTGCACTTTCCTGTATACGCGCGAGACGGTCATAACTGGCGCAGCAGGGTCAATCTCCTTTGTATAGACGACCTCAAATAGCATTGTCCCCGTTACACCTATCTACTGGCATTCCTCCCCGGGTCTTTCCTCTGCATATCGCATTCTCTGTTCTACTTCTATATTTTATTCTTTATCCTCTTTACCCCGGTGGTTGCTTGGCTAAAGGTTAGCTGTGGGTTTGATTTCTGATGGATTAGTCGGTGCGCACTTTTGATGGGTTGGGAAAGCGACGATGTGATTTGCTTATTAGAGGAAGGGTCTACTTGTAAAATACAACTTTGATTATGGCAGCAAAATGGGAACCGTGCTTTTTGAGTTGGTCTTTTTGGGCCTGGCAATGCAAAATTGAAGAATTATATAAACCGCGTATATAGCCCTCCAACAAGGCCCTAAATCTCCTTTTTCTGTATACTTTCAAAAGGATACACGTTTGGAAATCTGTATCTCCATTCAGGATCATGGGTTAGAACGACTTAAAACCAGGACCTCAACAGCGAGGTCTCAGAATCCCCGGTTTGGCTTGTGAAAACAGAACATATGGTCGGTTGTAGACCATTCACAAGTCCCACAGACGGGACGAGGTCGTAAATTCCCACTATCCCCAAGGACTCCATATCAGGAACACCACACTTAAGAAGCGAAAGGGGTAGAACACGCTGTTACGCAGCAATCACCTAGATCTCCCTAGGACTGGCGACGAAATCCCCAGAGGATCCCAGCGAGAAGGCTTGGTCTGGTTAAATCGAAGGGTATGCCCTTGGATAGAACCACGCCACCGTGATTCTGTGACTGCGCTGCTGCGTTTTGACCCGTTGCTTGGAATCATTCTGAAACTCGACTTGAGAATCTTCTGTCCAAATCCGCTATTAATACCTCTTAACGAAACTCGGAATCCTTCGACGTCGACGTGTCAGTCCGAATCGTAATTTTCATAGGCAAATCCCCCGAATGCTGTAGCTTCGGCTCAACCTAGGTGTAGGTGTATGAGATGGCACTGGTGACGTTGGAGCCACCGCCTCCGAAAAGGATAGCAAGTACAGAGTAGTTCTTGGGAAGTTGAAAGGTGGGTCATCCAGAATATCCGCCCCAATATCTACCTCCCTGGAACGTACTAAAAGGCATCCAATGGGTATTCAATGAACCCCATGCAAGATCCAATATGTTCATAACGCTCACGATTCCAAACCAATTCTTGAAGATCGCAAGTTCGCCCCGAGCTCTTGCTCTGTTCTCACGGATCGCCATCCTCGGGGACCACCTAACTGAACATGAGCCAGTTATTTACGACTCCCGGAGAGACATTCAGAGCACATGCTGGCAGCGCACCACGAACGAGCCTATCACGACCTACATGGATTTTTAGCTGCAGAACAAATACGAGATTTTCCCGCTCATGCATATCATCGGTGCATATATCAATTAGGCTCGATCAACGAGGAGGAGTGCGGGCATGGAGCTGCGAGCTGATGGCCCTTTTTAACGGTGGAGGGACTAAATCAGTTCTAGGGTTTGACGTTGCGCTATGCCGTTCGGCGCCGTTGAATCAACCACTGACCAAGAGCATGGCATTCGATTCATGGGACAAAATTGTTTGTCGTCGGCAGTCAGATAGCGTACCGGGGACTCAACGCATGGACATCTAGAAGGGTTGCACCGTATTGCCTCTGACGATCCCTGCTGACTTGTACCGTGAAAATTGCAAAACGGGCAACCAGGCGGGAAGGAACGGATCATGTGCTCGCCATCAATGGGTCAATGTACTTTTCAAATTGATTTCTTTACATGGCGAGGTACGCGGACTATCGAAAGCAACTGTGCCCTTGTTTCTATGTCAGATGTCAGGGCTGTTGGAGCTTCGTCCTTGCATGATCCTTTGGGGTGTGGCTTACCAACATTGCACATAGCCAGAAAGTCCCTTTTATAGAACGGGCATAAGTAGAATATTCCCCGCGAACAAGCTAGCAAGTGTCCTAAAAGAACACTTGAGAAGTCAGCAATATAGCCCATCCACAAGCAGCATCATCAAGTACATTTAAGCTCGAAAAACTCCCTAGTAATCAACCTTGGGGGTGGTGTACACATGCATTCTTGGTTTCGGAAGACGGGTTCGAGACCAAGCTGTGCAGGAGGTTGACAATGACTGTGATTAGTGGATCCATAGAGTGGGTAAGGAAAGCTCTCTTTTTTTGCTTTTTGCAGGCCTTTCAGGGCATTTTGGATGGACAGCTCGGTTTGCATATCATACTGAGCAGACAAACAGTTTGTGCTCAAGATATCCTCTAATGCAGATCTTGAAGGATCGAGTGCATCTCAGTCTATTGCTGAATGACTAGTGGTCAGATTCAAAATCATCAATGCAATGATAGCAGCTTCAAGCTCGCCTCTTGCCTTTGGACTGATTCCAGGTTTTGAAGCGGCGAATTGTGACCAAGAACGTTTAGTGAATGAACATGACTACCCTTTTTGTTGGGTTAGCTTCAGTTTAGCGATATCACAAGGCATTGCTAAATGCCTTTCCGCCCTTTGCTATCTCCTGGCATCATATTTGGTTATTTTTGCAAACACTGTTGAGCAACCTGCTACACAATCAATATTGATAAGTGGTACCAAATAGTCATTGCACGTTCCATGAATGCACTGAAAGTACATACATGAAGAGCAGACAACAGGGCGACCATCCGCAACCATTATACAGAGTACTCCAAAGAGATACAATGCCGTCAGCACCCCAGAACACTTTTCATCATTCTTTTCAGATCATCGATCGAAGTCTAGGAGCGGCACAGGGTCAATGGTGTGTATCAGCGATTATCGAGGTGAAAGAACCCGGTTTTCCGGATAACAAGGTCTGGGTTTAGCAGAAACGGGGTGTCCCCCAGAAGCTACCAGGCCATCAAGAAAATTTCCCAGTTTCTCGCAGCGCTTGGAATTGATTCTGAATGGACAATTCGGAGCCTATCCGTCTATTCCTTCCCTCTGTTACACCTCGCGGCAGGGGTTAAGATGTGTACCAAAATGAGTAGTGATGTGAGCAAAAGCTCAAAGAAAGGCCATGGAGCTCGTAGGCGGCGCACGAGCCTCGCTGGGATGCAGCCAAAACCTGCTAGGGAGCGGGAGCAGACCCCGGGTAAATTGGCGGGAGAGACGTGGAAATATCCAAGAGTGTTCACGCCAGCGGGTATCTCGAGGCCAAGGTGTGAAAAACCTCTGACCTATCGGTAACGGACAGAGCCAAAACTTCTTTCTTTGAGTATCTAAAGTCGAGGAAAAGGATTGAAGTTATATCAACCAGCTGTGTGTCCCAAATCGTGATGTCAGCACCATCCCTGTCATCTCGCCAGGGGTCTCCTGGAGTCCTGGGTGCCAAGGGGTTGTAACGCGGTCTTCCCATGCGAGAGCTTCTGCGCAATTCCCGATCCGGTAGCAGGAACGGCCCCACAGGCGTTCCCATCACAATTCATCGCACAGTGCAAGGGACGCAATATTCAAGCGCTGAAGACAAGGTATATACCAAAGAGCGTCCTGGGCAGGAAGGCCTAGAGTTGGCGAGCAGCAAGCTCTTTACTTTCTGCAATTCAAGCCTGAGGTCGGCCCAAAGGCACGAACACCCTTGGTCCCTTAGCAGTGTTTAGCGTGGCTGCAGGTCATGTTAGCAAGGCTCATCATGGATCAGCTGAACAGCACGCACCAGGGGGGCGACCCGGCCAGTGATCTCGCTGATCTGCTGATTAGCTGGGCTTCGCCACGCCTTTCCGCATCCGGCTAAAGCGGTGTCGGTGGGAAACTCAACTCTCCACTCGGAAGGTGCCCACCTGGCGAACAAGAAGCAAATCATCGCCTGGAGGTCGAACGCTGGATGAGCAAACAAGAGCCCGAATTGAGCACTGCTCCCTTGGCCCAGAGCGGTGCCTGGATTAGAGCTGGGAAAAGCAAGGCGTTTGGAACGGTGCCGGCGTGATCGATCAGTATTCGCGATCGAAGAAGCTCCAGATTAAACGCACCAACCCCGCTGCGAGTCGTTGTGCCGCAGATGGGTGCTGATCTGCCAAGCCACAAAGGTTGGTAGCGACGTGGAAATATTGCGGTGGCCGTGTGGTAATAGTGTTCCCATGACCATGGACGTACGGTGCGTGTCATCTACGTACCAGGTACCTTACACGGTACCTCGCCTGCTCCAGAGTGAAGGGCGGTTCCTGGAACTACCAAGTATCAGGTACCTTTGTATTTGACGCACGCTGCGCAGATTCACGAGTCATGGTAGCAAGGCTTTGATGGTCCTCCATGAGTAGTTCACTTTACCCATATTCACCACGAGTAAGGAAAACTTGCATGACATGGTGCCCTGATGGTACTGTACCGCCGTTATACAGGCCTGGCCGGCTCTGATATTACACCGCTCCGGTTCATCTTGGGACTTATGAGGCTTCAATTGTTTCCCGATCGTGGCGCTGGATTCGGTGTCAGGCTACCCATGCCTGAAAAAGCAATGCTTTGCAGCTCATATCAGCAAGGTACGGAGAGTATTTTTAGGTACTACCTTTTCGGGAGCATCGCAACGCATCATGGTTTTGCAAGCCGCTATGTGCCAGAGAACTCCATTACACATCTCCAAGGGTAACGGGTGCCTGCTGGCCCTCCCTGAAAAGGCCAGTGAGCATCTTCTGAATGGACAAAGAGTTGGGAGCTGTTGGGGATCATTCCGTCCGTGCCAGACCGAACCGCCCGCAGACAATGACCGGTAACCTATCAACCCATCCTCAAAGGAGGGACAGAAGAGACATCGATCCTGAACCCTGGTAATCTCTCAGAATTCCCGTACCATTGCTTAAAAATAGCCAATGCCTCCGTGAAACAATTGGCTAGAGACGCGCTGAGGATCACAATCAGACTCGTGGCGCTTGCAGGTCGAGAAACCGTGCATTGGAACCTATCAATTCATTCGCCCCCGTTCTCCCTCACAACAATGTACGGAGGAGGAGCTTCATCTTAGTAATATCGTGTAACCCAGAGACCCAACCGTTGCAAGTCTTGTTTGCAAAGGAGGGCTGGGAGCCGTAAACGGCCCCAGAATCCGCAGTGTTGAGGTCATGGGCGGCTAGAGCGCACCTGTGCCATAGCTATCTATTTCCGGAAATCTGAATTTATGCTTCTGTTCCTGCATACATCCAGGTGAAGGGCGGTTAAAAGTGTATTTTTATTTGGTACCAAACTCCATGGGAGGCAAATGGGGCAAGATAATGATCCCAAGTGACGATTTGATTCTCGCTTGGCACCACCAGCCCCTCATGTCATCTCTCAAGAAGCTGGATGTTCTGGGAGCACGGAGCTTTCTGAGACGGGGTTTTCGGGCCTGGCTTTGGGGGTTACGGGCGCCAAGCAGGGCCGAAAGAGCTAGCGACCCCTCCTTTTCCAAGCGGCTACCCGACAAAAGATGGCTCAAGCCGATTGCTCAGACTAACAGTGGGTTTTCGGGCGCCACAAACATAGCAGCTTCATTCCAACTGTACCAGGATTGCAGCTCTCCAGCTCAATGTTTCCAATGGCGTCGATGTGTGTCGTGCTGCAAAGCGAGAATGATGTCGATTGTGGCCTGGGCTGGTGA